TACCAGCAAGGCTTAGTTCCAGGCGATATATCAGTGGCGGAAATTGCAGGGGTATGGGGGGGGGGCAACCGCCCAAAGGTTTTGCCAAATTGTCGGTTTTGTCGGCAAATGTGCTTGCTTTTGTGGACATTGCCCCCCCCCACTTAAAAAAAGAATTTCCGCCACTGCGATGTATTTTCTACAAAGCGAAAGGGAATTCATTCGAAAGGTGGGGGTGGGGGGGGGGGCACTGTCCCTGGGCTGCGGCAGTAATTTGTAGTCAAGGTTGCTGTGTTGACATGCTGGTGGGAGCCAATATGGTAGAGGGAGCTTTCGTTTCATGACTGAACTGGTTGAACATCTTTATATACTAAACACGAAACTTTATTTATTTTGGAGATGAGGACACGAGTACCTGTTTTTATGGCAAGCCTTATTTTGAGCTGCTGAAGTCTTAATCAAATATAAAAACCAGAATAATCTGTGGTGTATTAGCTTCAAATGTCACGTCATAATGTGGCCAAAGTACGACAGCTTTGAATAAGATTGATCTGGGTTACCTCTCGGTGATTAGCTATCTGGGTTGCTTCTCGGTGACGTGTCTTTCTGGCTAGGTCATTAGATACCAGCAGCATTGATATTAGCTGTGAAGGCTTGTTACTCTGTTAGTTAGTATGAGCTATTGCACGATTGATGTTAGTTGGAGCTGAATTCCATAACTAGAAACCAAATCAAGACAGTATGAATAACAATCTTTTTGTGTTACAGAATGGCTTTGAAAAAACCAAACATTTTCTGACGTTTATACTCTGAAGAGTACCAGGCAAAAAGTCTTTTAAACATGTTTTGAAATGTTTGCTTTTTCACTGTATATATGAATAATCCAGAATGATTCGATGTGAAACTGTTATGATTTAAATCATTATTTGGTTACAGAGCAATAAAAGAACAAATCGTCTTATAAAATGGATGTCTCAAACACCCGCCAAACCCTCCCCTTTCCCCAGAGTCCAAGAAAGTGTTCAGTCTTGACCCAGACAATTTTCTAATACTTTGAAAGCCTCCAGGCTTTGGCCTTTAGTTTCTTCATTAATTTCTTCAATTTTCGTTGCCCTTCCTTGTGATCTGTTATGTCTCTGAGCTTCGACCCTGTTTCTATTCGATCTTTAGTTGATTAGATAACCAGAGAATAAGCAGTACAGTTACCACCTGCTATTTCCAACTGGCCTTTTCCTATGCAATCAAATAACAATTTTTGCAAAGGGCGGCAAGGAAGTCCGCAATGACTCTTATCCCAAACCATTGTTTTTAATTAACAATTTCCCAAGAAATTAGGAAATCCATGTGATCTCAATAAAGCAAGTATTATTAAGGAGGAATTTCTGGATTTTCAAAGACATCTTAGATGATCCCGTGGGTAGTCCGCTCTCCGTATTAAGTGTATTAGTTATCAAAACTCATCATATTTTTAAAATGAACCGTTTGTATAGTAAATCTACCAGAAATCTGTGTTTGCCTTGCTAATTCTTGTAATATAATGACAATCGTAGTTGTCCAAAGTAGGTCATTGCTTGTGGTGTCAGTCTGCGCAGAGGCTCTAGTTGTTCGATCCAAGTTTCGGTTTGTCTCGAGAGCGGTTTGCTTTAGTTAGCTAATAAACCAATGTCCTAAATGCTTCTGTCATTGCTGGGGCGCGATTTGGGGGTTCGTGTGGCTTCTTTGTTTGTACCCATTTTCCTTGGCGTGGCCATGAAATATATATATATTTAACCCAATTCCCCCCCCCCCTTTCTATGTAATTATAATGGTGATAACGATGAACTAAAGGCTGACCTTCGTTTCTTCGAACTTACAGAATTTTAGCTTACTTTTTATTTCCTTTGTTTACTGAAAAATCATTCAAACGTGGACATAGAAAGCAATATATTTCTAGCTCGCTAGCAAAGTTCAGCTCTTTAGCTCGTTGCACTGGCTTCATTTGACTAGGGCTTCTTTTTAGGAGCTGCGCGTAAATACTTTCTAAATACATCACATCCTCACATCCTTTTTCAGCAAGGTGTTCTTGATTCATCATTTCCTAGCTTCGTTGAAAATACAGCTACCTGTTTTGATATTTTAACTGTTTGTGTTCTTAAGATTCAAGTGATATGTTGCAAGTGCCGATCTCTGATGTGCCAAGAAGCCTTGAAGCTTAGTTTCATGGACTGTGTTTCTGTAGAGTTGTATTCTTGCAGCTGATTCTTGTTGTTTTAAGTGGTTCACTTTGCATCGCTTAGAATAATTTAAAAGGGATGCTATATAGTTAACACCCTAAGGAAACTAGTAAGACATATAATTATTATATGCCTGTTTTAAAAAAAACTTGAGTTTGTATAGTATTTTTGTTGTTGCTGTGTTATGTTCGATCCCCCTGTCTATTGACTGCTTTCTCTCTGTCCAGACACAGCAATGAACTGTCCATTTTAAGGTTGCTTGGATTTTCCGCAAATCTAGCATGGGATCGAATGATATTTTTCACATTTCTTGTCATTGAATAATTTTTCATAATCACTTCTATATTATTAGCGCCTACTTCATGTTGATACTGGCAGCTTTCCTCGTGCTGCAAGAGCAAACAAATTTCGAGAAAGAATAACAGACAGAACTTCTGCGCAAGCAAAGTAACAAAACAGAGATTATAGGATAAGGTTTACATTGTTTCCCTGTGTTATTTGAGAAATGTGACCTAGCGAAGAGAAAATTAAGACGGATGATAACTGAGGAGGTTTAGCAAATGTATAAAGTCCCGTTTGAGGAATTCTCCAGTTGCGGTGATTGCGGGTGCATCTTGGAGTGTGTCGCGAGAGATGACCAGAGTATTGTTTCATCAGTAACTCGTTTGATATGGGTCTCGCCGCCAACTTTTCGAGGGGCATCAGTGAGAAAAAGCAGGTAAGCTTCAGCAAATACTTTAATTGAAGCCAGCTAGCTTAGTCTGAATCGCGCAACAACACAGCATATTCAGTAATTCTTATCTTACCGCAGTATTGTTTTGGTACCTCAGAACTTTCACCGTCGTCTCCGACACGACCAGGCAGCGAACCTTGGAAACAAGTCGCCATTAACTCCAAACAACAAACCAAGAAGACTTTTGAGCGATGTTGATTCGACAAAGTTAAGCTGCAGGTGGCAAAACGTTTTTCCATTTTCGTTTCGTCGATCAGATTGGTAATTTCTGTTTGACTTTTAATCTGCAAGATGAGATATCGTTACGTCGTTGAAGGTTTCATGATGGTGATTGTTTGAAGTCGTTGTTGCAATTACTGCAAAAGGTGCACTAGCAATGGATGCTGGCTTTCTCTCGTTGCAACGAGCTTCAGTAAGGGATGTTTATACTGTATCTTTTTATGCAACCACTTTTCGCATCTGAAGAATCTCCCCTTTGTTTTAATTAATACGAAGGTTTATAATAATAATTCAAAAATAGGATTTTGCATAGTTTTTGCACTTGTGACAGGGCCTCGACTTGTAGGTCTAAGCTGAGAGGGTTATAGCCACTTGGTTTCAAGTTACTAGCATCTTGTAAGTTTACTTGCTGTCTTGTCGGGGTGCACAGCCAGTAGCACTGAAGTAGCTATCTTTAAAGTAACCTCCTATTTGGTACGTTTCCATGTGGTAATGGTCATCAGCGGGTACAAGATATGTGACACGGTCATGCCAATTCTTTTCCATTTAGCACACTGACTTTTCCATATTTAGTTTTTCTTTGGTTCACTCGAATATCATGCATGAAATGAGGCGTTGAGGACCCTGCCATTTTTATATACTTGCTAAACGAATTTTGTTGATTGGAAATTCTACCGATAAACAGTAGTGAAGTACATTAATAGCAAATTTGAATATGAGCGTATGGATGATGCTACCCTTTTAAATTATGTTTTTTTCAAAGATTTTTATTGAAAGAATTGATCCACTGATCGACAGCGTATTTAATCTGAGGATGTAAAAGATGGCAGCCATGTAGTTATGATGATTCGCTTTCAGAATGATTTGTGTTGATAGAAGTGAAAGTGATCATTCGATTGTCTGATTGGTTGACAATACCAAAGATTAATAATCATTCTTAATATCATATTTTCTATTTATATAGTTCACTTTCTTGTAAATATGTAGAAGTTTCTGATCCCTTGATCGTCTATGTGACTGATAACTATCGAGCAACAACCCTGAGTTTTGGCATAGTTTTTTGTCATAAACCTTTGTTTCTGTTGATTCAGCTTGTGTTGCCTTTTCCAAGTGTCACTAGTTCTTGAAAGAATGTATTGAACTGCTAATATGTAGCTAAATATTTAAGTTTAAATACTAGTTTCTATTGGTTTGCGCAAAGCACAGTCGACTCAGGCGCCATGAGTGAAATTTTTAGGCCATTCGCTGAATTTCCACACAGTCTAGCTATACCTAAAAATGGATTCTGCTTGTGAGTCCCTCGTAAAACTATTGCAAATTATTAAAATATTTTTTATAACAGTGAAGTGCTTTTGAAATATGACTTGTACCTGCTGCTTCTGTGTCAATTGAAAAGCAAATTTAAGTTTTTCTTTATAAAATTTTGTCGTCACTTGACGAAAGAGTAGGTCTTTCGCCAATGTTTAACTGTGCTTGTGAACATGAATTCAACACAGCAGACCACAGACTGGACACACCAACATACCAGTGTTCTTGTGAGGGTCGTAGACTTGTCTCTTAACTGTTCGATTATTTGCGCATGTTTTAAGGTCTATTCAAAGGGTTTATTTGCGACTGTCAGTCCACTGGAAGTATTTTCTGGTTTTTTTAAATCAGAGGTATTAATCAGTTGAAAATAATCATTTCTTTTATAGCTTAAGAGCAGAATTTTGCCCATAATATTTGCTGAACCGCAATTAAAGTAGACAAATTAAAAAACGTTGAATTTCTCCTGAGGTCTGATAACGTTCTCATGGGCCCTATCTCTCATCTATCTGTTTGTTTTGATAATGACCGCATCTCTCTCTTCATTGCAGGCACATTACAGACAAGGAGTCGCTTTGCAGCACATGAATCGCCACTCTGAAGCGCTGGCAGCGTTTGCCACTGCGGTGGCCCATGACCCAGGGAGTGAGCAGCTACTGCACACTCTCATAGAAGCGGGCCTCAAGTCACCACTCCAAGGTATTACAATTTTTAAACTATTTATTATTGTTGTGAATCGGGTTTGTTGACTACCTAATACGAAGCCCCCGGCATCTTGAAGGCATCAAATTGCACTCAGAGAAAAACACCTGAACAGTTTCCGCTCTTTTTATCATGGAGTTTGAATGAGAGAGCTAGGTAACTGCATTTTACCTGTTTGAAAACTTTAATTTTGGTTTAAAAAATTGTTGTGTTGAATCGTTGCTGCATGGAGCAATTCAGACATTTTCTTTGTTTTTAAAGATAAAAACATAGTGTCGTCTATTTTTATTTTTTTAAGTGTTGAACGTGATATGGCAAATTTCTAATCGGGTGTACAATTCCGGTCACTCCTAGTCACTTTTTGGCGCCGCTTGCATTCCCCAGTTTAAGAACAATATAAGAAACACAACATAATGTAACCAATCAAGGCCATATTATTAGCAAAATATATATGTAAGAGGTCTGCTTGCTGTGCCAAACAACGTTAACCCTCAACAGCAAATTGTTTTACGGATTTTTTACCGCTTATTCCTTTGAGGATTTTCATTAACAGCAAATAGCGCTTGTATAAGCTTGATTATTCAGAATAAATGGAAGCTCGTAATCTTGGATTGGATGTTCGGCTTGTTTCAGAACAGTTATGGTTATTAGCCCCGCCTCCGTTTGCGAAAAGGCCTCGTTTTGCAAGCCATATTATTGTTTTATTAAGCTGGAAGAGATCTTATACTACTTTCCCCTGTGATATTGAAACATAATTGCGACGATAAAAGGAATCATTTACCAGACAGATCCTTCCGTGTTTCAGTCTGATTCGCTTCGATTCATGTAAGATCAGGCGTTTTGAAGGCTAGCATCGTAGTTAGCATTCTACTGAGACATTGTCCCTATTTTCAGCGGGGCAGGAAGGGGGATTGCTTCCCCTATGACCCCTAGTTGGTTTGTTTAAAGAGTCCCTGCTTGATGTGTTAATTGAATAAAGCCAAAGAATTGAATTTGATCATCTTTCATGTGGTTGAAATATTTGGGAACGCAGCTGCATTGTCAAGGAAACCTAAAACGTTGGCTAAATATTATCCCAGAACACTAAGTAACCGTTCATACTGCTTGCTGTTGTTAAGTGTTGAATTGCTAGTAACAATTCTGCGAAAAGTGACTACCCGTAAACGAAGGTATGCATTCATATTCCAATGGCCAGATTTTTTTTTCTGAAGACATTCCCAACATTCCATCTAAAATCATCCTAACCTTCTTCTTTGATTTGCTCCTTCGCGTTTGTTTCGGGATAGGGCTCCCCACGCTTACTTGAATGGATTTTTGCAAGCTCTCCGCTTTACGACAAAAGCTGCTACCTTATTCAACTCTATTTATAGCTACTGATGTCGGAATTGGAAATTTCTGTTGAAATATGCTCAAACGAATGAATCAATCTGTCTTTCTTCCTGCAGGAATTCGAATTCATATATCCGACCTTGCTTTGCAGATACAAATATTTTTGAATGAATTACCTGTCTCAAATGGCCAATTCACATTCATTTTTCAAAGATGTCCAATAGAACTTGCAATGCACCCAGTAATTCAGTCCGCCCAGAGATCCATCGAGCATTCATCCCTGGAACCCGCCTAGTTTTCTACCTTGCCACGTAGAGAAGCGTATTCCGATACGCAGAACTAGTTGATATTCTTCCAAAATTGAATTTAAGTTTACAACTGTTATTTGGTTGCGAAATTTTCCAAAAATCAACCGAAATTTTGCAAAACTTAAGATGGTAAAAAATTTCCTTTCTGTTATGGGAAGAGCAGAATCATCAAGTGCTTTCCTTACAAAGCCTCCGTAACTTTTACTCACCTTCACTCATAAAAAAACGTTGCTTTAAGAAGATATTGAGTTGTAGAGAAGGAACATTGCCAACGGCACAATGAATTGCCCTGTCTTAAGGTCGTGTCCTTGTTTAAACAGAGAAATACTTTCTAACACGAACTAGATGCCGACACACATTGCTCTTTCAAAACCCAGTCCTTGTGTATGCTTGAGATCTCATGCATTAACACACATTAACATGGTTTTTCCTTTTAATTCACGGAATTATTTAGGACTAAGCTCAAAGCGAATCCGAAAGACTTCTTAATGTAATAGCAAAATTTTCTCATGAACATTTGCTTGTAAAGACCGATCGATATTAATAGGCATCCATTAATATCATTCTTTCAACATGACATAATTTTTTGCCTGTGGTCGGGTATTTCTTTGCTCTATTAAAGAAAAGAACGGGATTTAAAACTAGTCTTTAATTTGCCTTTACTTAAAGGGCATCCAGAGCCTCAGGACTCTAGTTGACTGTTATGATATTGTAATAAGAAAACAGATTCTGATCCAGCCTTAATCGATGCTGACTCAAAACATGAGATCCACTTTTGTGGAGTAGGCAGCATCCGTTTCTTTGTGTTATGAATATTGACGGTTTTCTATTGGCTCCTCCTTGCATGAAAACTTTGTGACTGGCTCAAAAATTGACCAACAGGAAACACCTACAATGCTTGCCAAAAGTAGTTGACACATCAAAGCAGTTTCAGGACATCTTTTTTCATTTCATGGTATAGAATTTGCTGAGGGGCTCCTTTTTCGCCTAAAGCAATTTTGGAAATAAGCCTCGGTTATCCTGGTTTCTGAAGGTATAGGTTTCGTTCTGATAATGTATTTCTACGGAGAATAATCTAACATTGTTTGAAGGACGAGAGGGGCTCTTTCACAAAATGTTGCAAAGAACAAAAGTAGAAATTGACCACTCTTTGGCATCAACAAAGAAGAGCAGAGCTCTGCCCCACCGAGCTCCCTAGCACTACAATCCTATTTCAGAGCCTGGGCTTATTTTCTTGTTGATTGATAGTAGCACAAGCACACCCTGCACACGCCACGCACAAGCCCCGCACAAGACCACACAAGCCCCGCACAGGCCCTGCATAGGCCCTGCATAAGCCCACCGGTGTCAGATGGTGACGCTAGCATAATGAAGCGATCTGTGATAAAACAGTTTTGTGAAGGTGTATTGGCAACCAAACCATAACACTTGCAAAAGGCCATAATGAACACAAGAAAATCGAATTAAGTAATGAGACATTTATGTGTATCTTATTTATTAGTTTAGCGAATAACTTTGTAATGAGGTAATCAAATTCTGGCTTGAAATTTCCCTTCAATGTAAAGAACTAGAGCGATAAGTTTAAATTAGGTTATTTCTCAGAATGATATGTTATCAGTAATGGCGCTGGTTCTCTCGCCTTGAGCAAGCATATATTGTGGTAAATGGTCCTGTTTTTGTGGGGTCACCTATTTGCAACATCATGCCTTCAAAGGTTACATTGAAGATACAAGATTACCGCAATGCTCTCTCTTCCCTTGTCTTCGGATCGAGACTAACAGTGTTAGAACTGGTTACTTCACTCTCAGTGGAGATAGCTGATTGGCTCCAAAATATCTCAAAAAGAGAATGACCTTAGGCCACCCTTAACCTAAATATACCAGGTTCTTTATTTTGTGTGTATGTTTTTATGTCACCAAATGTTGAAAACTCGTTTTTTATGGCCTACGCATACAGTCAGATTTTGATAACCTTTGTTGATACTGTTCTTGTAAGGTGATATTAAGATGATATCTTGTTGAGAGACCTGGCTTTTGTGATGAAAACTTATCTAGTAATTGAAACGACTTTCAATCCGATGATTCAGCGACCTAATCTCTGTATTCCCTTTTCAGCAACGCTGTCACCGCTGTTTGCCCAGCTCCAAGATATGGGCCGGGACAACGACCCTTTTGTCATTACTTCAATCATTGGACAGGAGCTATTATCGGTACGGGAAGTTTATCCTGCGATCACTGTACTTGAAGCATCACTGCAAATCGGCACATCGGATGTTAAGTTAAAAGAATCAGTGCTGTCTGCTCTTAGCAGCGCGCACTGGAAGACGGGAAATACCAAACGAGCAATGCGCTATATGGAGGATGATTTGAAAACTGCGGAGGAGCTCGAAGATGAAGCGGGCCAGTGTCGGGCTCATGGTAACCTTGGCAATGCGTTTTATTCACAGAACATGTACAAAAAGTCCTTGAAACATCATAAGCTCCAGCTTAACATTGCGACTAAGTTGCAGGATGGACAGCTCATTGCAGAAGCCTTGACATCACTAGGTCATGTGTATGTTTCAACAGGGGACCTCTCCAGCGCACTGGCCAGCCATAAACGTTGCTTGGTTGTAAGAAAAGAGTTGAATGACCGTGCAGCAGAAGGCAAAGAACTAGGCAATGTCGGCTCAGTATATACATTGATGGGTGATTATCGTAATGCAAGCCAGTATCATTTAGAGAGTCTTCGTGTAGCTGAAGAAATCCAGGACAAAAATGAAGCTATTAGATCTTGCAATAATCTTGGCAGTTTGTATTACAATATGCGACAGTTTGACGATTCTGTGACTTATTTAATAAAGGCAGTGAATCTAGCAGTTGAGCAAGGTGACTTGTCTGCCCAGTGTAGGGCTTTAGGGGGTCTTGGCCATACTTACAGAGGGCAAATGAAGCTAGAGGAGTCTCTGAGGTGCCACGATAAACAACTTAAAATCGCCATCAAAATCACTGATCGCTCTTCGGAAGCGAGAGCTCGCTCGAATATAGGTGTTGTCTTGCAGCAGAAAGGACAGTTTCGACAAGCGTTGGATTTTCACAAGACTCATCTCGTAATATGTCGTGAACTCCGAGACAAGGATGGCGAAAGCAGGGCGTGTGGGAATATTGGAAATGCATACCACTCTTTGGGACAATATGAAAGAGCAGTGAAGTACCACAAATATGCTATTGCACTGTCAAAGGAGCTAAGAGATCAACACAGCGAGGCTTCATTGCACGGAAATCTAGCCGTGGCCTTTCAAGCATTAGAAATGTATGACGAAGCGGAGGCACACTATAAAAAATACCGGGAAATGGTGCGAGATTTAAATGACCTTCACGGTGAATGCCAAGCGGAGAGCAATCTTGGTAACTTTTACATTGCTAGGGGAAACCCAAATACGGCAGTCGAGCATTATTCTCGTGAACTGACAATTGCAGAAAAACTGGACAACGTTGACGAGATGGCTAAGGCTTGTCATAGTTTAGGATATGCGTTCTATCTGAAAAAAGCTACGATGACTCTATTGAATACTACGAAAGGAACATTCGACTCGCAACTAAACGCGGTGAACGTGCAACACTTACAAGTGTGTATTGCAATTTAGGACTGGCCTACTTAGCTGTTAATGATTTCGAGAAAGCTGCAGCCAGTCAGAAGAAGTTTCTTCTCGCGTCTACTGAGAAGAAAAATGTTTACAATATTTGCAAGGCCCTTGGGAATATTGGCGATGTTTATTTCAAAGAAGAGGAATTCACAGAGGCATTGCGATACTTCAGCGAGAAACTCAAAGTTGCCGAAGAAAGCAAAATTGAGACTCAAAAAGCTGTTGCTTGCAATAAGCTTGGTAAAACGTATTTTTGTGTTGGCAATTACAGAAAAGCGCTTGAACTGTACAATAAAGAGTTGATGTTGGTTAAAAATTTCAACGAAACGTCAAAAGTATTTGATTGCTTAGAAAACATAGCACATATACAGTTGGCGAAGCGGAGTTATAAGGAAGCGTATGCTACCTACTTGGAACAACTTGAACTGTCAAAGAAGTTGAAAGAAGATGACAAGGAGGCCAGATCTCACAATAACCTCGGTTTGAGTTTGATACAGCTTGAATCGTATGAAGATGCCCTAAAGGAATTCGAAAAGCAATTAGAGATACTGATTAAAACGAATGCTGGTGAACTTGAAGAAGGAAGATGTCGCGGCAATATTGCCGAGTGCTATTTTTATTTGAAAAATTTCAAGGAGTCACTGAGAAGCTACCAGTTGTGTTTTGACCTTGTATCGTCAGCGGGGAGTGTTTTGGATCAGGACATGGCCTATAAATGTCTATCCACCGTACACAAAGCTATGGGTAATATGCAAGAGGCCAGGGTTTGTACGGAGAAGAGACTTGTATTGTCACAGGACGTTGAAGATGCAGTGAAATGCGAGGCCTATGGCGAACTAGCTGAAATACATCTCTCTATGGAAAATCTTGACCAGGCAATTTCTTATTTCGAAAACCAGCGTAAAATTGCAAAGGAAAGTGGGAACGTCGAGTCGGAGATAAGCGCTGTTGGAGGACTAGGGAGAGTACACGAGAAAAGTGGCACGTTTGAGCAGTCTTTGAAGTTTCATCTTGTGGAATATGAGCTAGCTGAAAGATCCGCGAATCTCGAGGCAGAAGGAAAGGCAGCGAGTAGCCTGGGGCTGATTTATAAGCACCTTGGAAAGTATCCGGATGCAGTTAAGTATTGTGAGAAAGCACTCGCAGTTGGCAGTCAGTTGAAGGACGAGAAATTGCAGCTTTTGGTTCAGTCCAGACTGGCATTGATCAAACATCTAATGTGCCGCAATTCAGAATGCTTCTCGCATTTGCAGAAGGTGAAGGATATCGCAGGAAGAACCAAAAGTCATGCTGAAGTCATTAAAACATACTTTCGGCTTGGTATGTGTGAATTCGTTCAAGGCAATTATACGGCTGCTGAAAAGAATTTCCAGCATGTTTTTACGCTCGGTGTTGATATGGCAGTGAAAGAGGATGGAAAGGAGATTGCAAATTTTGTTTCTGCAGCATACCAAATGCAGCAAAGGACTCTTGCTGCCGACAAAAAATATTTAGATGCTTTGAAGGTTGCTGAGAAAGCTCGGTTGTTTGAGTGCCGCATTGGCATGAAGTCTGAACACTTCGACAAGAGTCGACTTGAGGCTTATCAAAATTCATCGGATACCTTGCTAAAACACTTGAAGAAACTTGATTCTATTGTGTTGTATTACTCGATTGCTGGCGGACAGATCCTGTTGTGGTTGCTAGCACCGGGCAAAGGTATTGTCAAGTTTACCATGATACCGTTGTTGGATGGCTACGGAACTGAAGACTTCGAGGGCGCCGACTTAGATGACATACCTCATCATGTTCCTCGTCAGGTGACTGAGATCCTGGATGTATTAATCAAAGAGTTGAGGGAAAGCATCGGAGTTGGGGCCTTTTGCAGCAAAACAGAACTGCGGAGGCATCGCAGTTTCGATTGCGAAATGGTGGAGATATTACCCCCGGATCAAATGCCATTAAAGAAATACAGCCGAATCGGCCAGCGAGCGTCTGCATTTAGTCCCCCAACCAAGATCAATAAAACTACTTACAATTTTTCGATGAAGCAGAAGCCGTCTAACGTTGTGCAGTCTGTGGTAGATAGCGAATGGGCGGGGAAGGCGCGAATTTCGCCCTTGAACAATTTACTGATTAGGCCTGTTCGAAAGGAGTTGAATGTTCTAAGATCAAAAGAAAGTGAAGCAGTTAATATGTTAATTGTTGTTCCCCATGACTTGCTTCTTGTTCCATTTGCTTTGCTCAAGGATTCCTCTGCTACCAAATATTTTGCAGAAAGCTTCAAGATTCGCACCACAACAAGCTTGGCATTTGCCTCTAGAGGAGGAGGCGGGAAAAAAGAGAAACCAACCGAGGAGCCATTTAGAGATGTCATTGTGAATGGAAACGAGGTTGGCGTGAAGGAAGAAGTGACAAACATGAAGAAGATCTTGGGAGCTGACGTGATTGCTTTAGATGACGGAGAAAAGGCCGACTTTAGACTGAAGTTGTCAACTGCGAACATAATTCACTTCGCAGCAAAAGTGGCCTGGTCATCAGCATCTCTTGTGTTAAGCGGAGAAGAGGTTGGTCGCGTGTTGTGCAGCAGTCCAAATTCGGAGCCAGAGTTCGATTCCTTTGATAGCTCGTCCCGTGTGCATTTTCCAGCAATGCCTGATATTTTGCTGTCAGCGGAGGAAATCTCGACCCTCGACCTACATGCTAAGCTTGTAGTGTTTTCCGTTTCTCAAGTCGCACAGCACGAAGACTCGGTGTCCTCTGATACATTAGCCTCATTGATAAACGCTTTTCAGTTGGCCGGAGCCGAGGCTGTCATTGTCTCGCACTGGCCCTTGTCAAACCCGACTGCAGAAGCGTTTTTCGCTAGCTTCTATGAGAAATTTGAAGATGGCGCAGATATTTGTGACGCATTTCAACAAAGTGTGCTTGTAGTAAAACAAACACCTTCTTTAAGTCACCCAACAAATTGGGCTGGCTTTCTGCTCTCTGGCAAAAATATTTCGCTGCATAAGAAGCGGGCTTCATTGGCTCAGGTCCTACATCTTCTGCTCGAGAGGCCTAACAGAGATGCTATCAAAGTACTCCTGCATTTGGTAAGTACCTCATGTATGAAGGCTTTCATTCTAACGATGTCTTCCCAGTCAGTAGAAGTAAAAAGTGACATCATCATATCTTTATTTCAAGCGCTCGATAATCGTCCCTTTTTATTAGCAACATATGTAGAATATTTACAATCAATTACCTCACAAAAATGTAGAATAAATTAACTCACAAAGCGCCTAAGCCAAACAGAAAAACAAATAAAAATTGGGAGATGTTTTTGGTCCAGCACAAAATTAAACAGATAAATACCCTAAAATGCTTTTGTTAGTTTACTACATTACCGTAATGTCTCGAATAAGCGCCCGGGCGCTTATTTAATTTTTGAGGCTCCAGGATGAGCTCTTATTTGAGGGAGGCGCTTAATCGAGGGGGACGCTTATTTAAAAAGTAGATTTGGGAGCAAATTTTGTTGTTCATTACTCTTTCTTGTTGAATTACTTTCCAATTATGTTTTAGTTGAAAATTCGAATAAGCGCCCATTTCTGAAGGTTGAAGAATGGGCTCTTATTCGAGGGGGGTGCTTATTCAATAACTTCCCTCTAGGGTGGGGGCTTATTTGAAGGGGGGCTTTTAATTGAGGGGGGCACTTGTTCGAGGCATTACGGTAATTCAGAACTGAAAAGAAACATCGACAGAATGTAAATCCCTTGTCCAACAGCTTCCAGCTCCCTTATGATTTTTCAAGATACAGCCCCTTTGCTTTTGGTCTAACTATATGTGATACTCTTATCGCAAAAAATTGGACTTTATTTCAACGATTTTTTCAAAGTGAGTTGAAATGACCCGGTAACAAATGAATGAACCAGGAAGGAGTGTTTCATTTCCAAATCAAACCATTTCTTTCCGCATTAACCAAGATATACGGTGTGCTAAGCCATCACTTATCCGTGAATGATGGTAAGATCTTAATGATGATTTTCAAAGTCGGGTTTTGAGATAACAGAAATTCCACCTATATTTCTTGGTGATTCTGAATGAGCAGATCTCAACACATGCACACATGTGGCAGCGTCATCAAAGAGTTCTGTTTTCCACAAGGCCTACCGCAAGACCTATTTGAAGGAGGGTCTTGTAATTATGTGATTTCAGTCAATAAATGATCGTATTTTAAGACTTCTTTCATTTCGAAACAGAAGTAGGGAATTCGTTATGTGTTGGGGCATGTCATTAAAGTTGCCCTTTAATACTGTCATTATAGTTCGTCACACTACAAGTTTAGTTGTTGAGGCTTCACAAAGATCAATACAATGAATCTCAACACTATTGTGTAATTTTGTAAAGGTGTGCAAGCAGCTAAAATAGAACAGACGAGACGAACATGACGAGTTTAGATCTCCATTTGTTAAGAATTCAACACGCTGCATTGCAGAGTTCCTGTTAACTTGATATTACTCTGCAGATACCCATGCTCTTGAGATTTTCGAGAGATTCACCAATAAGCCGAGTGCAATCTTTTAAACTTGTAATTTTGTAAACACATAAAGCTATTCGTTAAGGCCGTTTGAGACATTGATACCAAATATGTCTAGTCTGTAAAACCAGTTATTTAGGTGGATTAATTTTGCATGAATTTCTCATGAATTTTGGAATGAGACGTCTCTTTTCGAGACAGAACTTAAGTTGGGTATGAACGAGATTTTGAAAACCAGTTACTGAATGATTCGGGAATTTAACCAAATCAGTGGTTTTTTTATTGTATTCAAATTGCCTGCCCCCAGCGTTTTAAAGGCCAATGTGATGACACCTCTTGCAAAATTTCCATTCATTAAAAACTTCCGACTATTTTACTTCATATGAAAGTACGAAAGCGTATCTTCCTTGTGTTTTTATATTTTATTATAAACGACCTTTGGCAAAAATGTGAATTTTCTTGTTTAGCAGTACATTTTTTCTTGATTGGTGGTTCAGTTAGCCAATGTGCATGCAGTTTAGAATCAACACAATCTCCCATTGTATTACAGGTTGAAAAAGCTCGTCAAAGAATCGCACAAGGAAGACGAACATCTATGTACACTACCGAGGCAAGTGTCAAAGCCAAAGTTGGAGATGTTTTAGGTTGGCAAGAGTTGTTAACAATGGTTGGCTTTCGGTTCGAGCGTGCCAGTGGCGATTTACCGTCTTCGGTTTTCTTTCCTTGGACTGATCATGTCGGAATATTGAACCGATGTAGTAACACACTGTATGCCTTTCTTGGTGAGTCGAATTTCATTGTTGTTGTTGTTATCATATGCAACTGGCAGAGTAGAGGGGCATTGATCTATAGAGAAGCCTGGGTCGAGCTTATTATTATCTTGAAACAACAAACACAGGGCTCCAAACATAGACTAGAAGCTATTGTTCGTTGTCGTGGCGAAGTGTGCCGATTATGAAAAACCAAAGCAACTGAAAATCTTTTTGGAATGTTATTGAAACGAGCTCGGAAAAATAAAATGATAGCAAAGGATGCGAAATCTTTGAACGTAAAATCGTTTTGAATAACTTGATGAGAAAGCAGAAGAAATGTAATACCCATCACCTTTGCTTGCTGAATTGAAAAAATTTAATGAAACGTGACCCACAGCCTTCTTTCTTTCCATCAACCTCAGACATTTTTGCCAGAAAAGAAGCTCAATCCAGTCTATTTTATAAATCAGAGGTCAAGACAACGTTTTGTAAACTTGGTGCTTAGGCCATCTTTGATTCGACGGATCCTATGGCCAAAATGCAACTTTTAGCTTCTGATTTTTGTGTCAAATCTTAATGTGGGGCTTTTGAATTTTTCAATAATTCAAGCACAATGAAGCTAGAAGCATTGAGATTTGAGAAAACACCTTTCACCGTTCCTTTAATTTGATTTGTACCCTATAGCCTTCTCTCTGTGCTAGGGACAGCCCTTTTTTCTTACAAAATTAGGAGTAAAGTTTATTTCCTTAAATTAAATAAAGTCTCCGGGCTGGAGAGGCAATTTCCTCTAGCAAGTCCATTCAGAAAGGGCGCAGCCATGCATCCATCAAACCTTCATCTTTTCTCCCCATATTACTAAGAATCGTTTCGGCACGGTGTAAATAAGCCTTAATTACGCGCTGAATTTTTAGGAAATAATTGATTAATTTTCATGTAAGCTTTTGTAAATAATCGAAGGCACTTCACCAAATGGAAATTTTAGACGAAGGTTGTAGAGGAGTAACTGTTTGATTCCCTGTAGTCACTGCATTGGTTTTATTAGGATATAGGTATGCGTCAGTTTGTATCCAGCCAGGTTTTAAGAGCTATCAAATTTTTGGTTACCAACATCGAAGAGGTCTCTAATCTTTAAAGGAACTAACTGTCTTCAACTGTCAGATATTCTGATATTTCAAAAACCCAAATTTTCTTCTTGGAGTATCAATTTTGGGCTTGGTATGTCGCGTGAATTTGAAAATTGCGAAATCGCTTTTAATTTGTCATTGTGTCTTTTGAAAAATCCAATATTTATCTGGAATCACAAAAAACGATTTTGTAATTTTGAAATTGCTATAGCTTGCATTGCAATTCATACGAATATAGCATTCTTTAGGGAAGTTTTTATTTCAATGTATCTCATTAAAAAGTGCGAGGGTCCTTGCCTCTTGCAACATACTTTGTGTGGCCAATTTGTAGCCCGAAATCCATATAATATTACCCCGAACAAGATATTACCATCATAAACAGAAACCGATGATTTTAAATAAAATTGATCCATACATTGCAGTCATGAAGAAAAAAGGTGTTAAGAGTGATTCTGTTTTGCTAACGGCAAAGGCATTTTGTCCCTTCGAAAATCAAGCTTTCTTCAAGAAATTTGCTTAGGCCATAAGTTATTTGTCAAAATTCTTTAAGCGAATTTTCGTCGAAAAAAATTTATAACAGAATTTTTAATAAATTGAAAGTTTACCAAACCGCGTTTTGCTAAATGTTTTTCCTACTTAGTTCCAAAATCTTGTGAACCGGTTATTGAGGAACCAACGGAACTGAGGCCTGTTTTTGAACCGCTAGGCCTAACTCAATATCGTTAATTCTGGAACTAAAATTGGACTTACCAATAGTACCAGACCTCACTGGAGTGTAACTCTGCCTGAATACTGATAACAATCTTCAACTGTTCCAAAAAATGAATATCGTGGATGTAATTGCTAGAAAAATATTTCGATAATATTGCAGCTAAACAGGATCGTCCTAGTGGCATTTCACTTCGGTCTCTAGTCCAGTCCGTTTTCATCATGATGTGAAATATACCAAGGATGAATGGTCTGCACGTGGAATGCGGTCTCAGAAGAATTAAATCAGTTTCCCATTGGTCCCCGCTCTGTCTACGCTGTCAATCAAGCATCTTGCTTACATTTCTACTTGCTTTCTCATTACAAAGAATGTTAACTAGCGCAAGGAGAATTTTGTCAACACAACCCCAACTGTATTTTGTTATTTTACGGATTTAGTCCCTAGGATTCCGTGATTCAAAGCAAAATGTAAACATCTCAGAATCTAAATACCTTCAGATACCTAAATGTAAAAGAAGAACCTGAAGCAAAATTATTTGTGTGTTAATGTTGTGTATAATCAGCTAGAAAGAACTTCGCATAAACTTGTTTGAAGTTCGTTGATAATGTTACTCCCAATCGTTTGTTACCCAGTTGTTGGAAGATCCCAACACTAAATGTTAAGTGCTACTCTTAACTGATTTTTTTCAATACTGCAGGGCTAACAAGAAATGGAATGGACGCCATGTCGAAACTGCGGTCTGCCCCTGAAGTTGCAAGTTCTCTTGTTTCCCTCGTAAGTTGGCTCAATTATTTTTACTAAAGTTCCTTCGCTGGCCAGTTCACTGATCTGAAATGAACTAGCTTACAAACACTGACCATTCTCAAAGCATTATATTTCTAATGGCCTTATATTCGCTTTATTCAACTGGTATTAAAACTTTGTGAAACAGGATTGAAGGTGTCTCTTCATTTTTTAGAACTTCATAAAAGAAATTTTCGTATGGTACATTTGCCTGTTTTGCATATTTTGTGGCCTAATTCATTCATCCTCCTGTTCTAGCTGCGAGATGTTATCGGCTACTTCTCCGAAGAGTCGTCAAACGTGCAAGTTCCCCTAAGCATTAAGGTGTGGCGAGTGCCGGGTTGCCATGAACTCCTGTCCTCGCTTGGATTCGACCTCATGGGCGTTGGCCGTGACGAAGTGGTATTACGCTCTGGCAGATGCAACCTCCGCCGCCCATTGCAGTGCGCCTTGCAGGCCATTATCGACCTCTTCGGTAAGCATTCTTAACTCTACTGATTTCATTTAAACACTGATATCACGATACGATTTCAGGGTAATTGCATCTCAGAGCGGTGGGTGCATCTCAGGCTAATGGTTTTATCATTGTTCTTAGTCGCTATGCTATGATCTGTGTCGCTATGCCAAAGATCCTGCGGGATTCATCATGCCATGACGTCGTTTTACCACCCTATTTTCTTTGAAAAGGGTATACTGCCCCCTTGCATATTCACTACGTGAACCTAGGCAAGACACATTATTTCTATGGTGCCGAGGTGTTTGACATTGAAGCGTAGGGCAAATCGCTCCATGGAAATATCGTATACCTTCGATGGATTTCCCTTAATCTTATCTGAAAGTCCCTATAAAACTATTTGTTTTGGTGAAAATCTCGTGCGCTATTTGCCAGAAGGAATTGCTCGCTTTGAAGTGGGCGTTTGCATGAGTTACTTGTCTTTGACGTATTTCAAACATTATTAGCAATGGGGAGTTACGATTGAAATATTTTTGGTATTAAATGAGAAGGTTTTGACCCGGAAGACGATTCTGCCTCAGTATCGATTCTGAAAAATCTTGGGCATCTCGTTATTGGATTTTGGGATTTGGTTAGGATTTCTCAGAATCTTGTTGAAGTGGGCTTCGATTTTTTATGTAATAACAACGCACTATAGGATTCATTATAGATTGATTTAGTACAATCGCTTCATAGTTTCACCCAATTCATACAATCCATACATCCACACCCATGCCAGTCAGAATCCTACGATGTTTAAGGCCTAAATGCAGAATGTAGATTTTGCAACCAAATGCTTGGATTGTACAAAGTATAAGTACTTGATTTTTGACTGCATATACAGCATCCTTTTTGCGGGTTAAATCTCTCAAAGACTTGGAAGTTCATGATTGCCTTTCATATTGTAACCGAGTCACTGATGGCGGCTTTACATAGTTTTTCGTTGTATTGAATGATCGCTCTACATTTTTATGAATTTTAAATGCCTAAAATGCATTTCATTAATATTTCTCAACTTCAAACGGTCAAAGTGACCCACAAATGTAAAGTAGAGTTAAAGATTTTAATGAGTATCCGGGTGTTTTCGTTTGCCGGGTGTTATTATAGATAAAGGGAGAATGCCTGGTACGCTCTTCTTTAATTTAATTCTGCCTACGCTGTTTTTATCATTATCTCTGCACAATAAATTTTAAGATGCAAAGAGTGTATGTTTAATCTCACATCACATTGTTTTTTCAGAAGCGGAGGATATTGAAGGCGATTTCATGTGCAGCGTGAATGGTAGGGCAGCTTCTGAAATCCAACTTCGTAATCGACTCTCTGGCAGCCAGTCACTATCACGTGAGAGCATAGACAGTGGGTATCACCCCGTTCGAAAAGCGAGGTCATCCCCAATCAGACCAGTCGCAGTTTCAATGTACCATGATAAGAGCAGCCATCACGGCAGCGGGGACCTTTCTCGTGAAGTGAATGGGCACGCTGATCGTAATAACAATGGCATCAGCTTACTTTCATTGCAGACCAAAGTAGGGTTATTTGGTGGCAAAGGCAGTGAGTCTGATGTTGGCCCAAGTGCAAGGAGACTCAGAGGTCGCGGTTCAATCACAAATGTCACCAGACCACCTGATGATGATAATTATGGGAAGCCTTTGTCAAATGAATCAGCCAAGATGAGTAGCTCTTTGAAAAAATTCAAAACATCAGAAAGTTTGCTTGATTTAGCTGAAACCCCAAATGGACATTTCATGACGGACGGTCCTATGTTTTATCAAGAAAGCACAAAATCAATATTCGGCAGTTCAAGTGAAACAGCAGATCAGGATGCATGGAAAAGCCAAACACTTCCGCCTCGAATGAATCAATTTCCTTCTTCGAATAACATACCAATACCTGGAAATAACTCCAGTCACAGAAAGGTAAGCAACACCAACAGCCTGCCAAGACGCATACTCTCCAAGTCAGACTCGTTTCCAATTGATGATCTATCTGAAGAGGAAGTGTCAGGGCGAGTTTGGAAATTGTCCGAAGACTCAGATACCAGTATGAGTAGCAACACATCAGCTGCAAGTAAAGGAAGTGTCAAATTTAGTTTCGAAGGGCCGAAAATATCTCCACTGGGAGGGGAGCGAAGTGGCAAGAAGACCCCCAAAGGCGATGGTGCTGACTATTATTCCAAGAATAATTTCTCTTTGATCATTCGCAACAAATTAGCTGGAAGTCAGCTAAACAACTCTGTCGCATCTATAACCAGAGGGACCACAATAATAGATGCTTTGAGATTGGAAAAGAAGGACTCTATTTCATCTGCGGAGGGGATTTCGCCAGACAAACGTCCCACTCCACTGCATTCGAAACAAAGACTTTACCGACCCAGGGGGAGCATATCCTCTGGTTCCACTGACAGTGCCAATATAATTGAAAATCGTCCGTTGAGCCAAGACTCGCCAGCATCACCTCCATCGTCTCTACCCTCGTCTTTGTCGTCAATCCACTCCTCCGAAGAGGCAGCACGTCTTACAGGTGAAAACATGACGGCATTTCAAGTGTCAAGGCGTAAGCGGGTATCGTCCGTCAATGGCTCACTCGTGATTAGCAGAATCTAGAACTAGTATCTTATAGACAATCACGGACATAGTAATTAGTACATATGGCGTCTTTCGTTTTGCATATGCAACGTAGCACAATGCCAATAACAAGAATGTTTCGTTCCAAAACGACAAACATCCCAAAATATCCGTGTTTGTTTCTACTTCGACGTCATATGATAACTCTCCCCTCGTCACTAACCAAGTAAGTAACTGATACGTACTAAATAAGTAATGAAATGTGCCAAATAACAATTCTTTATACCAAATATGTATTTCTACATACCAAATATGTATTTCTACATACCAAATATGTATTTCTACATACCAAATATGTATTTCTACATACCAAATATGTATTTCTACATACCAAATATGTATTTCTACATACCAAATATGTATTTCTACATACCAAATATGTATTTCTACATACCAAATATGTATTTCTACATACCAAATATGTATTTCTACATACCAAATATGTATTTCTACATACCAAATATGTATTTCTACATACCAAATATGTATTTCTACATACCAAATATGTATTGATACATACCAAATAATAATTTTACTTACCAAATATGTAGTGACATGTACCAAATAGGTTTATTCTACCTACAAAGTAAGCAAGGAGACCAAAAATACATTAATACATTGCCAATACAAAACTCAAAACCCAAATCGTTTTTGGCAATGAACGTCATTTTTTCATACTCTTCATTTCGGGAAAACCTGTTTATGGAGATCTTAGTTAGTATTTGACATGACCTAGTCTTTATTGTATTATACCAAAATTGTAAATAGATTTTGATACACAATCGTTAGGAAATATGATAAATTGTTTTGCTGGTGATTATGGTGCCAGAAAAAGTAAGGGAATATTTTTTACGTATGTATTGTAAATAAAGAGGTCATATTGATTTCAAACCAAGAAGATACAATCCATGTTTTTGTTTCCAACTCTCATCTTTCATGCATCAGCTCAGGAGATCTCGCCAAAAGAAGCAAATTAACCTCCAGGGCTGAATATGTGGCTCTAATACCACCCAATTCTTAACTGGTTTGAGTGTTGTTGTAACTAAGCATTTCAAGATTCATAACATTCATCCCGATTGGATCTGATACTCCCTCACATGAAATGTCGGTTCTGATCTAAGTTCCTTGGAATTAAGAAAGAAGCATGTAGACATTAGAAGCCAATGTGCAATTTCATTACCAAAAGTTGTATATTTTGATTGAAAAATGAAAACAGGAACCTCTTCAAGTTCTCATTCACATGACAGGGACCTTGAACAGCATTTAGAAGTTTTTTGAACATTGTTTTTATAGGCATAGAAGGTGAAAGCTAACAAACCGATGTGTGAAAAAAACGTAAAATACAAAATGGCAAAATAAGGAAAAAAGAAGATAGGAGTGGTTGCCTGGTTGCAGCCTCAAACCTCGTATAGAAATAGGGGATTGTGGTTTCGGAGAGGGTTCGCTGTGTAGATTTTCCTGGAGTTTTACGTGGGTTTATTTTTTAATTTACACATAAAATAGCCTAGCTGGTATTCGTATTAAAAACCAGGTATATGAAAATCAATACACGTCACAAGCCCGCGTACCCTCTGTTTATAGTGATGTTGAGCGAGGAGTGTTCAGGGCACTCGACTCATGCCTGTCACAAAATTTGGACTCATGCCTGGTCACTACCCCCAGAGTTTCAAATATCGCCCATTTGGGATATCATAGTTACTGCAAGCTCATCTTATCTAAGGTCATTCCTTGCTTGCCGAAAATTCTTATCAATATTTGAAGAATCAATTTATCATCCCTAGCCGATTTATGGCTGTCTTAAAACCCAAATTCTAAAAATGTGAACCTAAACTCCAAAGGGTTTCCCTTTATAAAATTATTCAGTTCGAAACTAGACGAGTTTGATTTGCATGTATCAATAGAATTATTTGAGAGCAAAATCTAATATTGATAAATCCATTACATTTCATTTATTTTACTGATCTATGTCAATGGTTGATAACAGCAATTGTTGCAGTCCAAGTTGAAAACTTCATTACTTTGTTTATAAATTTGATGACTAAAATTTCGAAATATTTATTCACAATTGTAAAATACTTAATGTCTAACTGATATCAATTTTGTGTAATCTACGTAGACTTCTATAATAACGATCAATGTAATTAAATTGTACCAGGAAAAATTTTTTCTAAAATAATTAACGACGTTTCGAGCATAGCCCGTTATCAAGTAAAATTGAAATGCGATGATAGAACTAAAAAAACGTTGAAGGAATATGGAATTCGACAAATGGAATAGGAAGATGGATATAAGAGCATGGAAAAGAAATATATGGAAAGAGCTAATAAAAATGAATATATATATACATATACGCAAATACAGAATTTATGTACATGTACATATATGCATAAAAATATTAAGAAAAGAAAAAACAAAGAAAAAGGAGGGGGGTTTGTTGAAGATACGTAAACTGTTTATTAAGTGCATAAGGATATTAAGTTAATATTAATAGTATATTAATATACCAACGTCTTACGCGTCACAAAACCAAACGACTGGGGTTCAAATCGCTGAAAACTAGCTTGTAGACCCTAAAACAACTGCCCAGAACAGTAAAATTTCTACCAAAAGCGCTGAAACACTAACGTCTGTTTGAAGCATATTCTACAACCATACCACCTAATCGTTCTATGTGGGGTAAACAGGACCACGTGGATTATCCTTGAAGAGAAGTATCAAATACGAAAATGATAAGCAACACCAAAATGTATTGGATGTGTCAAGGCTTAGATATGCATTCTGCGTAAATAGGCAGGGGCGGATCCAGCAAAAAACCTGACTGAGTTCCAGGCCAAGGCTAAGGTCTTTCGGATAATGCATTGATGATTGTGCCTAAAACAACATTACTACTCATAGTTATGCATTTTGGTACCTTACCCTTATAGTACCAAAATGCATAAATGTGAGTAGTAACGTTGGGAAGGGAGGGGTAGGTACACACCACTCATTAAATCTAGATTCTAAAGGGGGGGAGGGAGGGGTAGGTACTCGCCACTCACTAAATCTAGATTCAAGATTTCTTTCTGACAGAAGACAGTGCCTCTGTCAATTTTTTTGCAACCCCACTCCTTTTCTCAATACCTATTTGTTTGTCTTGGATGCCACAGAAAAGTTGTTTCCTTTTGTTTTGATCGCAATTTGTTGTTTTGCCTCCGTAGACACTAGCATATTCTTCAAAATATGGTGTTCCGTCTGAGCATAGGTCTCCCGTGCCATTTAAGACTGCAATTTAAAACCAAGGTAGTTAATGCTCCTGAAAATTAACAATATTTCCTTGTTTTATCTCAAACGCTTAAGAATCTGCTAGAATGCTGCTAGGGTCGTGAGTATAAGGGCCTATAACACATCTGCAGTTGCCATTTCGAATTCAATGTTTTAACAATAGGGGCAATAGAACAGAAACAAAAGGCAGCCAATTAACTACTGTCTATTGTACAGCTCTCTTGGAAATATGGTATCATTTCCGAGTTCCAGATGCTGTTTTGACTGAGTTCCATCCGTGTTTCAAACAAAATTCATTCACTTCCGAGGCACAAAACGTTAATTTCCGAGTTCTAGGATTGACTGCTGTTGTCCTCCCTAGCATCTGGAAAATCGTTTCAAAATCAAGACAGTGAACAAAAAGGGCGAACGAATCACATCAAACTGGCAATTTTAAGATTTGGAAGAGACTGTGATGAAACTTAGAATTTTTTGGTTTCACTTTTTTAGTTTAGATATTACTCGTTTCGGGCAACACTATTTTTAGCTATATGTCGGAAAGCTGATTGAGTTCTGTGCACCAAGGAACTCACTCTGGACCCGCCTCTGATAAGCATTATTGTTCAGTTTTCCAATATAGGTTATCATCGACTGGGAGATTTACCCAGATTAAAGGTACAAGTTAAACTTTAAATAATAATGTATTGAAAGAAGGTAAACAGTCCTAGAATACAGAAAGGAACACAGTCAAGACGTTTTTCATTACTTGCAGCGCGGGCAGTGGGAACGAGGTGAAATTACAATGTTGGTTGTTCTTCCAGGCAATAAATATGATTTGTAGATCGTCTTCAAAAGTAAACACTGATGGGATTCAAAAGAAGCATTTCTTTCCCATATGCAGGCTATAAGACTTAACTTTTGAAACATTTTTCTAAATAATTGAAATCCAACTACCAGCACGACTATTTGGACACTCACAGTGTACATGGCCCCAGATCTATAGATATCTGATAGCAAATTATGCTTATGATAATTGATATTTCTAGTCTGTAGAAATCTTGCCCACATTTTGTTCATGGGATGGTTTTCTTGGACAACCTCACAATAAATGTGTTAAGTTTGCATAGTTGTGTGATCCTATAAGCCAATTCTACTCTTGTTCATTTTATCAGCCCTGATTTAATATCATTAAATTCGTTAAAATACAGCCTGGTCTAGCACCCGCGTTGGTTTACATTTACAGTACTTTCTAAGCGATGGGTATTTATCTTGAATGCACTTTGGCTGGTTTCCGTATCGATTGAGACGACTTATACTTGGCTGCACCTTGATATTATCGTTCGCGACTTTAACAGACGCCTCAAATGTTGCGTCACTAGGTGATACTGAAATAACAAGCTCATAATCTTTTATGTTTTGGTTTGAGTTGGGGTCTCTTTCTAGAAACACGTCACACTCAATGCATTTCATGGTTTGCCCAGTCTGTTTAAATCGTTGTATTACGTCACTTGGTAGCCTCCTCCCTGCGCGCTTTACCTCTCTTAATGTCAAAATCTCGCATTTTTTCACAGCCATCTCCACACCACCTATTATTTCCTCATTGATATACGTAACAACTGCTTCAGCCATTTTAATGACATCACTGTTAGTTGTATTGAGTTCACTAAACTGCAGGCATGGGCACCAATGGTCTTTGATGCCTGCTGTTCCACAAGTACGCGTACTTTGGTCTATCGTACTGAATAGACTTTGCCCAGCGCTTACATTTGGATGAACAGGATATGTAAACATGTGTTTCAATGTGGCATGTAAATCAAAATGCGACGTTAGGACTTTAGTGTTATGCAGCATTGCCTTCTTCAGGTTTTGGTCCCATTTAATTAGCTTTGGTGGCACTGACACAGACAGGAACGGCAATCTCTCTTCCAACTTCCCAGTCAATGTTTCCCTAAATCCTTCAAATCGGGCCCCGTGGTCTCCAAACAAGACCAATATGGTGTCATTTAGAGTGCCTTTGTCTTTCAAGCTTTTAAAAAATGTGAGTAGATCGTCGTCTAAATTTTTCGCTTTGCTAAGGTTATCGTGAAACATAGCGGACAGAACAGTTAGTGAGAGCTTTGGGGTACCCTTGTATCTGTTGTGCAAATTCTTAATGAAGTCGAAACCCCTAATGTATATTGGATTGTCCCCGTGACATATGCCAGACGCGAAACCTTCACCTTCAGAGCCAAGCCAAAATGGCCTTGTGTAATGATCTGTCGGTGGTTTTTCAAAACCAAGTAAACGGTAATTGAAAGTTCCATAAACAGGCTCATCCTCGTCATATAAAGTGACATAACCCCGTTTCATAAATTCACCGAATAAAAACGGCCAACTGTCTATGGGCTTTGCGTTTGTAAATCCTCTGCGACTTTCTGGAAAATCCCATTCGAATCCTCCTGCGAAAATAGCACTTAACTGGGCAGTTGTCCCATCTCCGACTATGGTGTGACCCTCAAATATGAATGTATCTTTATCCTCTTTAAGGTAAGCGTAGGACTTGGGCATCCTCCGTTTTACGTTAGACGCTGATTGCGAGTCCACCATTAAAAAAGCAACATTGTACGGTAGATTTGAGGTCAACTTCGCATTTTTTGCCCTTTCCCTAACACTTTTCTTTTCTATGATCGTAGCATGATATTCCACGTACATTTTCCTGTCCTTAATTATTGCTACCCGTATAAAATCACCCGTGACCTTGTGACGCACATTAATGCTCTGTAGTTTACTCTCAACCATCAGCCATTTACCCGCCGCCTCTTTTTCAACCAAGGTCAAACCAGAATTTACTTGATATTTCCCCTCAGTTCTAATAGCAAGATACTTCTTGGTTTTCAAATGCATGATCGAACCATCTTCCTTTATCTCGAACCGATTTTCTTTCCCTTTGCAAGGGGACATGCTCAAATCGCAACCAGCCTCGCTTGTACACAAATTATCAACAACCAGGCAGTACCTATCCAAAAGGTTTTCTATACCCCCAAGAGGATTCAAATACCAAAAGTTATCTGGATCACATGCTGTGAACTCTTTTGAACTTTTGAACAGGATCTTTTTGGACTTGGTATCTGCGTAAACGGATCCGCGATCGTGATCAAAAAGACATCCAACTGCACCTCTGTATGGCTTTACTCTCTCTTCTTTCGTTAATATGACACGGCCGGAGTGTTTTACATGATCGTCGTCATTTTCTGGTCTTGTTATATATTCATAATATACGCCTAAGACATTATCGATTTGTACAACAAGTGTCTGGTCATCTAGGCGAGAAAAGTATTTCTTTTGGCATTCCAGCTTGTCTACATCTTTGATATGCTTCATAGCATCAGCATCGAAGGGATCTAGCTGTGGTATCTTACAAGCGGGCTTCTTTACTGGCATGACATGACGAGAGATACGAAGACTAGCATTATCACCCTTCTGCAGAGCAATATTATTTCCATCTGGCGGGTAAATGTCGGTCAAAACACGTAGTAAAAGAGCAACAGTGTAAAGAAAGAAGAAAATAAAAGATACCAAAACTATCCTCTTGAAATGGAAGCGCATTTCACCAATAACAGGTCGCTTTCTCAGAAAAAACAACTGGCCAGCAACAATGATTTATAGCTCACGATTCCATAAACATCTCCTATTTCAGTGTCAAAGCCATGTTGTCGGAGGTCTCTCAATTTCGCAAACTTCAAGCTAATAGCTACTTTGTAGAGAGGTTTTGCCTGAAAAAACAGTTTCCAAAGCAACGCAAAATACAAAAGAAGTCATGTTTCTTTTATTATGGAAAGCCAACGCTGGCCGGACACATGGTCTCAAACAATTACGCAGGTACAATAATCAAGAACCGACAGGTTGCCAGTTTAAAGCATATTCACACCATTATTGGCATACCGTTAATTATAGACGGAAGTGGGCCACTAACATCAGCTTTACTCGCTATTCATCAGTTTGTGTTTTTGGTGTGGTGTTGATCATCTCTTCTGCTATAACGACAAACCATGTCACGTCACGACATCAAACCAAAGTCTTTCAATAGAACTTTGATCAAACGTTCTTCTTCCTTCTAAGCAACGTGTCATAATCACATTCTACGCCAAAGTTTACAATCTTGTTGCAATCATATTAGCATTCCTCAAATGTTTGCTTAATCGCACCTTCTTTTGCAATATGTTCGTTTCTTCTCGACAATCTTCCTAACAGCTTTCGTGTCAAATTCAAAACATCAGATGTGGAGGACAGATGGCTGCATTGCAAATAAGCAGGTTTTGCAAGCTTTTAAAAACATAAATGAGAAACTCACATTACGCCTTGCATCGCGCTACCCATAGCAGTATTTTTATGCTTGTATTAATCAATTTCTCGAGAAAAAACAACCCATTACCATGTGCCAGACCCAGTCCCCTCCCCGTAATTGTTTTTGAATCTCGTTTATTTGCAACCAAGCTCGTTGTAGCCAGAGATTTAGCCCCACTAGCCCAATGGTTGCAGCCTAAGGAAATTCTTCGAGAAAAAGGAAGTGAAAACATTGTAAAGAACTTTTTGATACGGTTATGTTATGTTATGAATACGTTTTTTATAATTTAAGAAACCAGTTTCTTGCTTATATTCCTTGTGTTTCCAATTGAAGAAGGCTGCTATTTATTCACAAAGTTCATTAATTTAGAGGGGAGATTAAAAGAGCTTAGAGAAGGGAGATTAAAAGGACAACTAGTGTCCGGAAGAAAAATTGCTCGTCGCTTTGAACAAACATTCAACGTAGCTTCTTGAGTGAGTAGCTACAAGAAAAAGGAATTATATCTTACATTCAAATTTTTGCAACTTCAACTTCTGTAGTTTTTCGAAGAAATTAGTTTTAAATCGAAAATTTGGACCATTAAACATTCGAAAAAAACTTTCCATGCAATTTACTTGTCCGTAACCTGTTTTTGTCCGTAAGTTGCTTCGTTGCTGTTATCTTCATTCAGCATAAACAAATTATTCAAAACAATAACAAGGCCAATTAGCTAGGCCAAGAAGCTCCCCATCCTATTTATCTATGTCTTTTATACAGAAAATAGACATCTAATTGAAAATAATCATTTCCACTTCAAAAGAAGGATTTTTGTGCAATTTCTTAAAGTTGAGGGTGACCAGTTTTATAGTTTCTTAAACATTTGGTCATTCGGTTTCCAGTTCGGTTTCCTATAGACGGTTTCGTATAAAATTTTAGCATGTACATGTATAGTGGAAAAAAATTGAAAACGGGAAATAGTGATGTCATAGGAGGCATTTTATTATAAGGGGACTGGCTCCCACATATCATAGACAAAGCCTTGTTTGTGGGACAGGCTGGTACTTGATAATATTTACACATATGAAATGTCCCAGGGAAAAAATTTGCTCGTTTTCAATTTTGAGCAACATCTACCCTGGCATACTTTAAAGTTTAGTGACAAAATTAAGTTTTTGGTTAGCTGCAGTATTAAGAGACTAATTCAACCAGAAGTGATATTCAAAAACAGAAACTTCTTTGGGAATGACAAAATCAATATTTATGCAAAGGCTGACATCTTTTAAATATAAAAAAAGCTAGTTTAATACCGTTCCTTTACGGAATAATAAAGAATTAGCAGTGGTCCAATGATAATTCAAACAGTGCCTTGCAATCGATGCTAGTGCATCAAGCTAAAATACAGACCATAGAAAAACCCATCGAGAAACAGAAGTTGATATCAGCCCTTAGGTAGGGTTTAAAAGAAAAGATTTGGCAAAACCTTATCGTGAAAAGTCTTTCATTTGGATACATCCGTTCCGACAAATCTTTATTTTTCTGTGACTTGAAACCTGGTCTGTAAATCTTCAGATGAGTGCCAAAAACGTGGTTGGAAATACCAAATAAAAAAGATTCAAGCCTTTTTCTATTTAACAAAAAAGAAAATTTTTGGTTTAGCCTATCATATGTTTTACAAACGTTTACTTGGAAGGGAAGCGTGAATCTAACAGAGGAAATAAATTTATGAAGTAAAAAAATGTAAAAAATACTGGATTAAAAAATGTTTTGATGCTTGGCGCCTAAAAATTGATGGTGGTACTGTATCAAAACATATTGTTTTACTATATATATTTCGTAAATATGCTTGGTACCATGTTTTGTTGCAAAAGGAGCCACTGGTAATTTTACTACAATTAAACCACAAATACTCGACTAATAAATTAAAACCTAAACCGTTTGCTTCCTTACTTTCTAATAAAACGATCAAAACGGCGTCTATACGCTCGATATCATCAACCATGCTTTACACAAAAAATATCGTTCGCCGATTTTCAAAACGGCAATTACTTCTCTGTCAAAACATTATTATATGACCCTCGTAGTATCAGAATTTTTAAACTGTTGTGGTTTCAATGAATGGAAACTACGTTGACAAAACTGTGGGAATACACCGTCTGCCGTGAAGAAATCTCAGCTATTCAAATGTTTGGTTAACCCTTTTTAATGTGCGCCAACAATTGAGGCAAACTGAAACATTAGGTGCCAAAAAAGGTTCTTGCGACAGCTTATGAATGGTGACCCGCAACAGGGCAGAAATGATAAATTATAACTTTAAGGATACTTTGCAGATATGTTGTGGGCAGATATAGACGTCTTTTATGCAAGTTATTGGGCAAATATGTCGCAATGTTTGCGTCAGAAATAAATAATCAGGCTGGGGTATCTTTGTTGCTAACTTTTCAAAAAGAGTTGTGTTGCTCTTTCATGATACTGTCTCGTTCATTTATTCAAAGTAACTTCGGTTTCTAAAAACATTGTAAGCAAATTGACTGCTTTAATACCCTGTCACAATTCCAGATAAATAAGTCCTAACTGCATGCAACAGAGTGCATATTTCGATGCACTGAACTGATTAACATAGCATTCTGTGCTGGGTAACCCTACGTAATTGTGCTCTAATGGCAGATTCCTTTCAGGGGCAGCGAGGGAAAATTATATTGCTTTGGTTGAGATATCAACACACATAAAAAATTTATTATCTTACTAGAAAATCTAAAAGTGTGAAAATTCATTATGATTTTGCCAAACAGTGACCTCTTATGACCGTCTTCATATTATCAAGCACGTCTTTTATTAATTATCGCAGTGTTACAAGAAAATCCATAGAGTTCAGGTATGCACCGACAGCAAGACAATTGAAACGTCAGATTTTAATAGCCGGGCCTGGTCGAGCTATATTTTCAAAGGGTCTCTTTAATCACAAGAAAAAAACATTCACAGTAAATAATTCGCGCAGTGCTTATACAATCCTTTGTTTCAAACCATAGTTATGATTACACAACGAACTATTGCGTTCATTAAAAGATGACATCTGTGTTCGAATAGAGCGACTTTAGTAGTTGAGATCATCACCAGGTCTAATAGCTTCCACTCGACAAAAGGAAGCTCAAGTTTTCGAAAATTAAATTACACCTATCGTGCCCTACATGCATAACCCATGAAAGAGTAAAAATCTAGACGTCGACTGGATAAAAGAGTTTAAAATACCTACCTTAGATTAAGTCAAAAATGTTCTTAAAATCATCAGTTTTTAACTGGTGATATTTATTCTAAAAAACAAAATCTTCTTCCGTCATGTCGATAGCCCATTGGAACTTCTGTCTTTGCGTTTTATTGTAGATTTTCTCAATCGGCACATCGTTTTTCTTACACCTAGAGGTGAAGAGGGAATTTTTATCATTACAGAGGGACTGACACGGGTCTGAATCTTGGCTATGCGCCTGAACATGGAAATGAGACTTTCGGGTTGGAGCGCGGGCCTGACATGGAAGTATTTTTTGTCAAATTTGAAGAAGTGCTAAGGTCCCGAGACATTGCGCAGCCCAAATTTGGGGGTAAAACTAGGATGATGGCAACCCCCCAGCAAAGGGAAAGGGTAAGGGCTATCACAGAATAAATTGGCACACTTTCCTATCTTATTAGTGGGAACATTTGTGCCAAATTTTAGCTGGTTTGGTGAGGTGTGGTGCAATCCTCTGCTGAATTGACATGAAATGACCCATAAAAGAACTAAAAATCTTTGCTTACCATGCGACAGAAATTCTAGGATCCAGATAGTTCAGCTTTGATGTACCAAGAGCAATCTCTTTGTTTTCTTCCTAAAATTATCATAAGAAGAACATTATTTACAATGAAGCATTGCTCTCATATTCAAGAACCGTGATTAATATAATTCAATTCAGCTTGACAGAATATCATTTAGCAAAAACTGATGACACTAAAGCTCAACTCATTCATTGTCATTCTAACTGGGGTCTGTGTTATAATTCATATTCGTCTCTCAAGAAGCTAATACTGGTAAGAAAGAAATCCTTTTGCAAAAATAGTCAAAAGACGACAGCTAGGAGGCGATAAAAGCGACATATGATAGGCTTTAAATAAATTTCAATTGGATTCGTCAGCTTGGCTGGTCATCAAAGAAGACATACGCAAACCAGTACGGCAAATTGTTAACGCTCCTGTGATAAATTTTGACAACAAATGTACGAACCTTGTCTGTCATACTGACTTCAAGTTTGAACAGCTGCTCCTTCAGACGTTTCATCTGATTGTCCTTTTTCTCGATGTTTCTGAAAACAAGATAACGTAGAAATATACCACACACGATAGGTTGATAAAATAATCGACGCAGAAAACATGAAACTACGACCAAGCCGGCAACTGTTAGCTAAAATATTCTAGGGAAAGTCCCACTGACGTGAATGTTCCATTTTATGTCGTAAGATCAGGGTAAAAAGCACGTAATTCTTATCTATATTGCAAAGAGGTGGTGGTATAAAGGGTTTTCAACAGAAGAAAACCGTTCAGAATTGAGGTAATACTTTTGTTATAAAAACATGCCTACAATCCTGGCCAATTGTTATTGAACTGGCTGGCAAATTGTAGTCTTTTTGAAAAATACCCCCCCCCCCCACAAGTCAATGTTGATACGCTTATCTCTACCCATTTCGATTGCTGTTACTTGGGTATTTTACAAAAAACCAACATTGCTGCAGGGTTGGGGGGTTTTAATAACATTATTGGGGTAAAAATGCATTTTTAATGGTTTTTTCTCCAGTCTACTGACCTCTTGGCCAGGATTGTAGAAAAAAGTCAGATGACATAAGAAACAAACATTCAAAAATTTTGCAACGAAATGTGTTTCTACCTATGACAACAAGTAAAGATTAGGAATTATACTATACGAGGATGCAACAACATATTAGGAACTAAGTGATTAGAGAACTGGGTGATTTCGATCCACAACTGGGTATATATATTTCTTAGCGTAGAGTTTTCGATCTATGTTCTGACATTTTAAACTCTGAAGAGAGTCAGACGATAAGCTTTAGTTTACTAAATGTTTGCTTTTTTCAAAGCCATTTTTAAGATTTGTACCACCAAAAGATTGTTTGATCAGAGAACAGGATTTAGGAAAATATACCGATAGTTTTGGGCATGGATCTGAAAACCTGACAAGGATAAGTTGTTAGAGCAACGACAAAGTTAGTCGCTCTTCACGGGCTCGATTCCTGTGTGAGAAGGAAGAACTGCAGGATAGGCTGTCCCCGGATTCTGTGAATCTTGCAATGAGTATAATAGAAATACGAGGATAAAATGTTGCGATTAATCTGTCTCTCGCTAACATATTCAATTCCTGGCCTGATCAGTCACTCGCTAACATTTTCTCTTAGTTTATAATCCCACTACACACAACAAGATTTAGGATAGAAAAGGAAACAGGATTACAATTTTTGTACCAGGTAATAAATCAACCTTCTAAAGGAAATTCTAAAATTGGAAATTATAAAAAGCTGTCGCTCCCAGGAGAATTTGGAGAAATACAGAGTCGTTCGAGTACAGCTGCCAGTCGAGTTAACGGAACAGAATGTCAGTTGGCTGTTTAAACAAAGCTAATTATTTTAAAACATAATAATATTCGCAGATTAATCGCAACACAGCTGCAGGTCTGTCCAAACAACATCCAACAGGCTTAAAAGCATACATCTGTGTACAGATTAAAAAGTTACTTTGTTTAAAGAGGACATGTTTGGAATAACGAAGCAAGGAGAGAGGCAAGCATCAAGTTAAAAAACAGATAATAACGATTTGCAAACACTACAACCAAAAGTCCTTACTTTTCGTCCCGTGAACCTTTGCCACTGTTTTTCAGTTCCTTCAGTTCCTTTCTGACATCTTTTATAGCTGTCTTCTTATCTTTAATCTACAAAAATGTTTGAAAATTAGTCGACTCAAATTAAACTAACTTAAATGCGAGAGGCGAAACTGAAGAATCCGGTCAGGATAATTCGAATATCCTCGTGGCATACACGTCGAGGAGTTTCTTGACTGCATAAACGAATCACAGGTCGCCTAGGGTCAGGGAACACTCTCCAAAGAATATGACAGCCAGCAAAACATGATACCTCTCCGGATTCTTCATGTTCGGCTTCAATGAACTGAGGTTTATTTCAAATTGGTCTTAATACTGTTTCCACGCAAGTTTATATACAGAGAAACTAGCTGAAATATTCTACTGCCTAGGACAGCGTTTTGCAACGCATTATTCTCGACAACGACAAATGTGAGACTGACGCTATAGGTTTAAGGGTTTTCTTTGAGAGTTAAACAAACTACAAAGTCCAAGCATTTGCTAGACAACATCTCCCGGAAAAAGGGGTTGGGAAAAGTGCAATTTTCATCATGTTCAAGAGCTGAAAGTTTTCCAAATTGGAGAAATTTGATGATCGCATCGCATGATAAACAGAGCAAGCCGATGCGGAGTGAGTTTCGCATTGTAAACAAAGTGTTGTAAGACAAACCTTATTCATAAGATTCTCCATCTGTTTGTCGAATGTTTTCGGTGGAGCCCGCTAAAAGAGACAAGATGTTTCCATGCAGAACTGCGATAAGACTTAGGGACTTAGAAATCTATAACAAGATTGCTAATATATATTTGTATATATGACTATTCTAGAACAATTCTTATAGCCATATCTCTTACAGATCTTTTACCGGATATTGCTTTATAATGTCTCCTGCAAACTAGAAGTACAGTCATCCCAACGACAACTTTAACATAGATCACTCTAAAAATCCTATCTTTAAGGCAACTTCTATAATACAAAAATAACCAACACCGACAGCCAATTTGGTATATAAGGAATCGAAAGGAAATCATCTTTTTATGGTTCCATTTCAAATTTCATGTTTAAGTCTAGTAAATACTGACACGAGACCAATGAACAAGTAGAAAATATAATCACGGTAAATCAACGTGCATTTAAAAACAAGTTTAATTAAAAGTAGTTATTTGTTTTTAATTACAAGCTGCTTAATTTGTCTGTGAAGCTTTTTCGCTGTTATTTAACAAAGTACTTGTACGCTCGGCTTGCTTTTTACGAGCAATGTTCAGGCCATCATGATAATAAACATTAAAAATTTATAACAGCTTCGTTTAAATTAAGATTTTATTTTATAGCATTCAAAATAGCTTGGATTAAACCAGATGGTTTCTTGTAGAGCTTGTATTTGCTCACAACAAAGAAATGTACAGCTGGAAAAGCAAAGTCGAAAATTATTATCTTCTTCCATAAGTTTTATCTTCCATAAGGCATTTATTCTGAGGTCGTTACAAAACTGGGTGTAAATTATATTTTTTTCCGGGCGCTATTGGCTTTAACACGTTTGCCTTCATATTGCGGGAAGATAATTGGGTTAAAAGCACAAATATTCAGGGCCGTAGAGAGATTTCGGAGGCCCTGGGGGAAAATGGAAAGACGTGGACCCCGAGGGAAAATTTTGACGACCATCCCCTATCGATTAGTTTAAATAACACTTAAAAAATATTTCTGCAGTCGTTTTTGCAATAGCTTAAAAAATATTATCATGCTTATGTTACTCAATGAAGTTGTGCGTGTTTCACCTGATGAAGAATTATGCCCAAAACGTCGTGCCAAACATTAATCTCTTTATACAAAGTCGTTATTTATTGCATCAAAATTTGTTCATACGTATGTTACGTTTGGTTAAATCCATTCACAAAATGGAATTAATTACTTTATGAGGAACCCTAGAAATCGAGGCCCTGGGGCAATTCGCCCGTTTTTGCCCCTTTTGGTGGCCCTGTTAATATTGATACTAATTAATATGGGGAAGAGGATGAAGGGAAAGATTTGAAAAACTGTTAATACTATGTGAAGGTGATGCAAAATTTTTTTCGCCTTTAGACAAAGCTTCAGACAATGTCCGAGAAAGGTACAACAAAAAATGGTCTAACCTGATGGTTGCAAAGTATAGCGACAGCTCTGTTTGCCCTGTTGTAGGCCAAGAGTTTTCCCGTCACGTTTTCCCCATCAACAGTCAGTTCACCAAGCTGATCTTGCAGTGTCTTCGATGCGTTGAAAGTACGGAAAACTTTGGCCGTAAGACCTTCCATCAGCTCTCCAAGATACTTGTTCAAACTTGTTGTCTATAGAAATTAAATATTATGGCTTGAGAATTTTTCCTATGAATGAAGATTTCAAAATTTTTGCAGGGTCGTTAACAGCAGAAATTTGACAAAAAATTTATACAAAAAACATTCACAATTTTGTCCACAAACAATTTTGATTAATAGAGCTGTTACATAACATTAACATAAATTCTCGAAAACGAAAAATAAATGTTAAGAAACTACTGCAAAAAACTTATAATAAAGTAAGGTAACACAATATTTATATTGGGTGGGTAAACTTATTACGCACTTTTTACATATTTTTAACGCCTTGAAATATTTTGGTGACAGCATTCTTAATAAGATGGCTGATCAGGAAAATCTGTGAACAAAACGGCGAGGAGCTTCCGGTTGAAAACTCAGGCGATTATCGGGCAGGGCCTTCTCAAACATTGATGTTGATCAATTTGATTTCGAGTTGCGAACAGAAAACTCTTGCTTATACTTGAATAAGCCTGAATAAGCCAACTCAAATTAAAAACATAGATATCGAAATGTAAGTCAAATGTAGTGTTAAAACAAAGAGAAGATAAAAAACAGAAATGTTTACACCATAGGTTTCGAGTCGTGTAATAAACACCAGCTGGAATAAGCGCCTATTCAAAATATCGAAAGTTAATTCAGCGGCCGGGGGCTTAATCAAGGATTTGAAATGGCGCAAATTTCAGTTTGTGTAATAAAATATAGTAGGCCGTACCGTTAGTCTGTCAAACAACTCGTCATCACCCGATTTTCCTTCCATAAACAGAGCCAGGTTCTTGAAAACCTGAAATCAACGAAAAAGCATTATTCCAATAACTGCTTTAAGAAATTGATGAGAATGCTTACGATTTCTTTATTCTAAATGCTGTGATGTAAATGATTTAACACAAAGCTTGAAGCAAGAAAAAGAGTATCAATTTTTAAGCACTTTGAATTTTGATTCCAAAATCTGAAAGAGCATCATGGAATGCCTCTAATCAAAATCAGTAATATGTGTTACAAATAGGCTGAGATGTGACCATATGAGTATATGCTCTTTCCCCATCAAATTTCTGTAATTTGGTCTTGGTTGATAACTTCATCAACCAAGCCAAAATCCGTTCGCAAATCTTTTAATAGCCATATCTCACCTAATTTTCTACAGATCAATTGATTTTGCATGTTCAGAAGTAGTTCATAGTGTGTCGGCTCGTTTGGTCAAACATAAGAAATTTCTTAAAATATTATTGTGACGTCATTAAAAGCACCTACCCGCTTCTCAACAGGAACGTTGTTTTGATACCTAATGGAATCTTTACCAAGGAAATCGAATTCAACAACATTCTCTTGGTCATCTACCTCTTTGTGAAGCTCTGAAATCAAGACAACAATGTAACTAAGAAAATATGGCGCAACTTTAAAAAAGTATTTAATAAAAAGTTTCTTCTATGATTTTTAAGCCATGTGCTCGGAAGAAAAGAATTATCATTACCCTTAGGTTGATAAAACTAATTTAGAAAAATACTTCGTACAATGTAGTATGAAGATCTTGAGAAACGAGACCGTAAGCCATAATTTCAACTGGTGTATCTATTATGACTCAACCTTGCTCTTCAAACCATCAGTAAAAGTTTGAGCTACTGTCGATCCCGAATCGGGGAACCTGCCTAACTTTAGAAGTAGGGGGTGGGGTGGCAAGGGTGTAATTACAGGTTTACAAAAAATATTTTATGTCTCAGCTTTGTCTTGGAAAAAAGTGCATTAATAGACCATTTTCAAATTTATTTCTACTCTAATTGGAAAAAGCTGTACTCAATATGGTGATTGACGAGTTTATGGTATTTCTACCACAGGGTATTACTGACACCCACTGTAAGATACAGCGTTGCTTGCACTGTCCACTAATTAAACAGAACGAAGGCCAGCAACGCCGAGTAGACATTTACAGAATGCAAATCGGCTATGTTGAAACACTAGGCCCTAGTCAGAGATCTGCAGTAAATACATTTAAGCTGACAAGCACAATCCTTCCTATTTGAAACAGATTATACAACTTAAGACCCTCCCACTCTTTATATATTTCTTAATTCTTGTTAAACTGAACACAGGATATTCAATTTCACCACAAACAATAAGGTAATTTTTGAGAAGCAAATTAGGACACAAACATGACAGATAGCTTGGGTCGGTCGACTACTCTTCGCAAAACACAGGCTTATTAGGGATGGTTATATTGTAAAAGATTGTGGGAAAGTCGTTAAGTAGGACTTACATGGGGGGGCGATGGTTGAACGTCTATAGGCACATTATTAAGTAGGGGATATTGAAAGAGAAACACGAGGCAGTCAAACGAAGGGCAGATTTCAACTAGCCAAGTCATACAAATATGAATGGCCCATTCAACAAGGAACATTTCGATAAGGAAATCTAGTTTTAAGTGGAACAATATTTTTCCTAGATTGTAATTAATTAATGAACGAAAGACAATTGTATATTATAAGAAAAAGAAACTTAAAAATTATAAGAAATATCCGCCCTCAGTTAATTGACCTTGTCTTCCCTACAAAAATTCAAAGTAACAAACAAGTACTTGTTGAAGGGGGGTTATTCATGGCAAATGAGCTTCATATCGGAAAAATGCACTTACTGATATGTTCCACACGCAGAGAACAACAGCCAACAGTGTCTGCTGACTCGCCTTCCTCTTTCTCGTGCCCAGCTCTCAAAGCTAACTTGTCAATAAAGTACAAAGCAACGCCTCGCTGGCGAATTCGCATTTCTTTCGATTTCCAGTCTTCTTGGTAATTCGCACGAATTTTCTCCACACAACTCTAAGCAAGGAATAGACGTTTTAGTTAATTTGAAAATATTTATATCAAGTTAAAACTTCTATTAAGAATAAGGATCAGCCCTTGTGCATGTATAAAATCTCGTTCGGTAAAAATATTCACCAAAATTACCGGCCATCTTAAGTCATCTTAACTTCAAATTATTAGTGGAAAAATTACGGCATTGATAATCTAATTCTAACAAACGGAAATCATAATATAAGGAAAAATCACACTGTTAATCTCTAAACAAAACGTCAATGATTTCATTTCTTGGTAACGAATGAATACTTGAAACGTTGTTTTAACAGTCTATTTCGTTCTCGCATTTAATTTATTTACTAATTGTATTGTCTTTATTTAGATAAAGATTAAGATATTGCAATATTTTGCAAATACCGTACAGTGGAGAAACCTATGTCCAAAAAAATATGATATAAAGGGACTTTATAAATAAGATTGGAATGGAGGGTATCAATGAATGTCCAAAACCTGGAAGAAATGTTCTTGAATTGATTATTTTACTCTGAAGCTAAACGAACGCTGTGATAAGAAAAATTATAGATGGGACAAGAGAAAAACGAGGCAAGTACACAAACGTGCCAATAACATATGTAAACGCGATAAGAACAAATGTACACGTGAAAAAAACAAATATGCACGTGAAAAAAAATATGCACGTGACAAGAACTTACTTTAAGTTTCCTGGCTGTCTCGTATTTTTGCCAATCCTTCTCTCCCTATAAAATAGACATTCATGTCAATTCTCTAAACAGCATTTCACCCAGTAATGACAAAGTAACAACAGCACTTCAAGTTGTGTTTGTAAGCAGTGTGTGTTAAATACCTTCAGTTTTGTCGCGGAATTCAACATTACATATTTGTAATTTCCGGCAATGTTTTCTACCCAACAAGCCAGCCAAGTCACCTAGAATAAAAAAATACTTTATCAAACATAACGTTCACAAAAAATCAGCAAGAATAATCAGCAAGGAAACTATTACTTTCTTACAGATTAGATCTTTTTAATAATCAATAGTCTAAAATATTTTACTGTTAAGTGCATATTTTTAATCAACAGAACACCAAATTATATATGACATAAGTCATTTCTAAAAAAAATCTGTCTAATAAATAGAAGACCGAAATTACAATTGGAATCTATTTACTTAGAGAGTTGTTCTTCTGTCAAGACTAAAACAAGGGCATCTGCAATGTATGTATCTAGGCAGGCTAGATCGCCCCTAGAGACAACCCAGGGCTTCTTCAAACATGAGCTACAAATTCCAAGAAATGTTGCTTAGTCCACGCTATGACTAAGGTTTTGTTGACCTCTAGAGGTTATCCCTACCTTATTGTCATGTTGAATGGATTTCCACTTATGCCCCTCTGGAGGACTTGGGACAACAGCATCCCTAAAATACGATCGCTCTATCAAAAACCCCTTGCTTAGCAACATCGGATAAAGACGTGTAAACAAAAATATACAAGAAACAAGAATAAACACTTGAACTAAAAAAAATTGCAAATGTGACTGAAAAATACTAATGGTAGCAATAAACTGCTTCTTTACATTGTCAGAATTAATTGTTTTGCTGTTCTACCTTCGTAAATGAAGCAATTAACTATATGTTCATCTCTCTAGCAAAATGGTCGATATTTCTGCTCCGAGAAAACTTAATACAATAAAATTTACGGAGAGGCTAGGTTACCAGTTGCCTGATGACAGCATCAAGTATGAAACTCGAAGTAGCAAATTAGAACTGCTCTGCTCTACAAACCAAAGTGTTCCACTCTTACATGTTTATTCATTGCATCTCTTTCTATGGACAATCAATCTTAAAATTTCAATCACTAGAAATAAACTTGACATCATGACTACATCATCATAGCTAATTTGTATGAAAAATAAATAATTCAAATAATGCATTTTCCTACTTTCCAATATTAATTATAATGTCCTCAGCCTGCACCCTCCTTTTCAATTTTCCTTGTTTGGGGTGATCCCCTCTCCCCCTGAACAAGCCGGGAGGCTCAATCCTGAAGTTGCCAACTTTCTGCTTGTGCCCATCCATGATACACATGCCATATTTGTCTGCAATCTGCTGGTTTTCGTCCTTGAGCACCTGCTTCTCAGCTTTGGACATTGCCTTTCGTTCTTCTGATTTCTAATTAAAAAAAAGGTTGTCAAACATGCTGCTTTAAATATTCAAAATATATAGGGAAACATTAAAGGCATACCCGTGAAGCTAGTTTGTTTAGAAACAGAAGGTGAATCCACAAATGGATTGCTGGTGATTAGGGGAGGGGGGGGGGGTGTGCATAACAGTATAAACAAAGCAGAATTTTATCGAAAGCTTTACCTTTAGAAGTTTAGAAGGCATGCACCAAAGCCCTCTCCTTTTGGTCCTGTAATTCTACATTAATCTATAGCATAATAAAAAAACTAATGCATTTGCCATCTAAAACAAATCCCTTTTGGTTACATTTTAGAAACAAAAAAAATGACAAACGAAATAGAAAACAACCTGTTGGTAATAGTCGAAAATCTCTCGGAATTTGCATTTCTTCAAATCTTTGATGAGTTTCCTTTCGTCGTCAGTCATAACTTTTCTCCAATCTTCCATGAAATTGTTGTTAAATATATCTTTGCTCGAGTACTCATGCTCGATCATCCTTGCGTAAAAACCAGCCACTTCTTCGGTTTCATCACTAAGAACAACATGTTTACCTGAAAATATGAAACATTCTCATTTCTAACGATGCCCTTTTTGTAAGAAATGCAAATTTGACCATATGAGGTATGCATCGTACTGGCAAATGATTCTTTCTCCAACCACAAAAACCTATGGACCAGCAAGCAGTTCTGAATAAGTTTCTAAATCTCATGGAGTACACCTCTATCACTCCATTCCCTATTATGGCCGGACTGACTACCCAGACATCAATAATTTAAAACTGCACAAGGAAAGACGATTTCCAAATACTAAAGCATTAGTTCCCCTAACATTCATTGGAGCATAACAATAACAGACAATGGCAAAAAGGCGTATCAACGTCAGGAAAATAATATCAGGAAAATATCTGGCGAGGAAAAAATGGCACATTTGATTGGTTCCTTTCCTAACCAATCATTTGTCGCCAACCTCCCACATGGTTTAAGACATTCAAGAGAGACGGCGAATTCTTACTGTCTACAAAAGTCACAAAGATTGAAATATAAAACATATGCTAGACGACTAGTTTATCTAACTGCCATTTGCATCAAGAAAATTAGCTGCAGCAGAAGCAACCAAAATATCTTCCTAGAGAAAGATACAACGTAGGTGTACGTATACATACCATCATAATAGAATTTGACGTTAGACGGGAGTCTATCATAAAGCGGTGGGAAATACGGACCCTAAAAGAGAAATAAGGAATACATCTCTGTCAGATGCAACAAAACCTTAATTTGTTGATCATTGTTGATCATTGATCATGTTGATGATTCAGAAATGACAACTTTTTTCTAAGCAAATAGTTACTTCAAAGAGAAAATTTGGTTTCAAAAATTAACTATTAAAGCATTTTACAAATAGTAAGTAAATTTAAGACCATTGTCTATTTTTGTAAACTAAAACATTACGTACATTGTGCTCTAATGTGATCCACTTGATTCCTTCTGGGTGTGGCTCTTCTTCCCACCATTTCCATACCTCTTCTTCTTCTTTTGGCTTCTTCTTCCCTTTTGTCTGTGGATTTAAAACATGATCGTCACATAGCAACCAGATAAGTGTAAAGGTAGAGGATAATTTTTTAAAAACGTAAAGACTTATCTTTCTAATTTCTGATTGCAATTAATTCAATCTTGAGTTTATTCTAATAACTTTGATTTTATGGATCTTAACAGGGCCCTTACTGATAACAGCACCTTTGCTACTGAAAAGCAACCCTGTATAGAGTACCAAAGTGATGACGTCACAAAAATATATTTTTTTAGAATTTTTCACTTTTGATCCCATAACCTGAAAGAGCATCATGAAATACCTTTAGATATGCATAATCAGTAAATATGCATAATCAGTAGAATGGGTTGCAAATTGGCTGAGATATGGCCACATGAGCACTTGCCCCATCAAACCTCTGTTATTTGGTCTTGGTTCATAACTTTATGAACCAGGCCAGAATAACAGTAATCTGTTAGCAAACTTGGAATCTTCCATTGGCCATATCTCGCCCAATTTGGAACATATCTAACTAATTTTGCATATTGAGAGGTATTTTATGCCGTTCTTTCAGATTATGTGGTCAAAGTTAAGAAATTCTAGAAAAAGATTTTTCATGACGTCACACTTCGGCACCCTATAAAAAACTGCCTTATTATTATTATCATTGTTGCTAAAAACAATAAAAATCTCCAGTTATACAACAAAACAAAGCAGGAGATGTAACATACTCTGAAATTGTACTGACCGGTGACGGTTTTACATCATCTCTTCCTTTTCCTTTTGACTTTCTGTCCTTGGAGCCAGCTTCTTTCTTAGCTTTCCCCTGGTGAGTGGTTATCAGAAAATTTAAGTGGACAACCAAAACCAAAAACATACAGGAGGGTAGAATAAAACAAGAGGAAGCCAAGATTGATAAAAAATCTTACATTTAGATCTAAGTTGTCTTGTTGGCTTGGTTATCAATAAAAGCATGACAACGAAAAATTGGCAAGATATATTTATAGCAAAGTGATATTTAGTAAGAGTTGGGATTCTGATACAAAAAGGGCTACAGAGGCTAGAGCAAAGTACTGGTTAATGTGTAAAGTCCATAGATTGAGCACACATGCGAAAATAAAGATCTACGACAGCTCTGCTGAGCAAAAATTCAAAGTCCATACCTTCTGCTTGAAATCATCATCGTCGTCATCATCAGGTAGTTTACGTTTCTTTGCTGATGAAGACTTTTCTTCTTTAATTTTCGGCTTCTTGTTAGAAGTGGGAGTTTTTGCTTTTTTGGCCTTTTGAATTCTACAATAAAAAGTCCCCGATCATTCAATGCAAAAACAAACACAACAGATTCAACAACAGAAATCTGGGGAACTTCAGACTCATATAAGCTTCACAAATAGATTAGAATAAATTAACTTTATACTCAATGTGAAATTAAATTAATATCCGTGGAACATACATATTATATAATTGGCTACGTTTGGAATCAATGAAATATGACAGCAAAACTAAAACTTTTCTATTGCCGGGCAGATAAAATTATTACTGATTAAAGATACGAAAAAGCTAAACTTTATCTAAATAATTTGTACCTGCAAATTTAGATACTTGACTCAAAAAATTACAACATAGAGTTAAAATACCATAAGTTTCTGAAAAATATCCCTGATCACGTTTAAAAGAGCAAGAGTAATGAGGCAACTATAAGTTTCCTCTTTGGCAATATAATTGAAAATCAGTGCGCCTGGGTACACATATAAAATAGTATAATTGCAATGGTTTAGAAAATCAAAAGCAACAGTGCTGAACATGCATTATGTGAAAATAAAATTCCTTACCTTTCACTCTACAAGTGGAAGCATGGAAGGAAGAATAAAAATGTAATCACTAAGTGATGAAATTAGCAGAAAATATGATATGGAATGACATGAAAACTTCTGAGAAATGTAAGACTGCTGCAACCTAGACATCAACATATTTGCAATACACAAGATTCATATTAAAAATCCCTATCTGAAAAATCACTTCAAATTCTTGATACCCAAACCTTAGGTAACATACATATTTTTATAGTTCTAATTCTTGAAAGATTTACATTTTAAGTTCTGCCCCTTTAGTTTCTCGAAAATGTCCCAGAATTAAGCAAAAATGAGACTAGCACAAAAATGCCAAAACTCCATACATAAGCATTTGAAGCTATATATGTACTCACTTAAAAAAATCACTTCAACTTATAATATATATTTGCCATGTAAGAGGTTACTGACTACAAAAATTTGACAAAAATAGAAAACATACCAGAGGCTCTTCATCACTATCATCCTCTTCCTTCTTAGGCTTTTTCATTTCAACCTTTTTCTCTGACTTTGAACCACTTGAGGAAGATCTTAAAAAATTAACATTTAACTCAGTAAACAACGTAAAAAGTAGGATAAGCCACATTCAAGATGATAAAGACATTAAAAAGCAAACAATAGAAACCTGTAAATGAGAAGTCAAATTTTTTTCTGTTGGGCCTAAGTGGGTTCCTGTTCCAAGGGTATTAATTGCTCTTATAAAATCAGTTCATTAAAAATGCTTTTAAAGTTGTCCTGTATGTCATCATAAATCTTCTATCCTTGATTTCTTGATTTTACCAATTTTGTGCCAATGGTGTTACAATACTGATGATACTTAAATTTACATAAGATAATGTAAAACTGAAAGTATTCTCAGCCATATAATAAATTCATTACATGTTAGACCAGAAACTTTTTTGAAAACTAGGGAAAACAGGGTGCCTCTTGAAGTAGCCAAAAATGCCACTTTTTAGCAAGAGGTTCTTGATAAGATTTTATTAAGAGCTTTTACTGCACTAATAATGGAAAATTGTGATAAGGATATACATACTTTTTGCTTATTCTTTGCAGCTAAAAATAGAAACAGCAAGGTATATTACACTTGTTGACACAAAAAACATCAATGATTGATTGGACAAGAATTTATTTATCATTCACCAAAAGCAGGCAAACTACAACAGCAGAGCAACTAAAGAAAAGGTTAAAGATTAAATAAGAAGCATGAAACTTACCTGTTGGATATCATCATCATCATCCTCTTCAGACTTCACATTGGGTACCTAAAAACAAAATCATATGAATTTGTGAAAACCTGAAGAAAAAAGCGTTAAGGATAACCTAGACTGATATCATACTTAAACATGAATTTTGAATTCTTATCATACTAATTACTCATATTATCATACCTATCAAACTTTAACTTGTATTAACGTTAAACCACTACAAAGTTTGGTTGAAGGTAGGGAATTCTATATTGTGGAAATTTATTAACATTTTCCTACCTTTAAAAGGATTAACATAACATAAATATAAACCAAAACTTCTCTGGATTCATAGAAAACAGTAATTAAAGCTTTAGTTCTCAATTTTGTGTCTAATAGGTTTTTCCTCAGGTCAGTATAGCAGTCCTTTTAGTGCAGCCTTGACCAGTATGAAACTGACTATGCAAAATAGACCCTCACAGCAGTGATTATCCAACAAAAACATTCATTCTGCTTTCAAGAAAGATACATTTTCAGGCTTTTGGTTTGACAGGAGCCATCACTCACAATTGCCTCAGCACTCATGGAAACCCAGCCATGTGAGCCTTTGTCAAAGGTGCAAAGAGGATACAAAGACCGTAAATCGAAAGACGGAAAATATAAGTAAGATGAATTTACCAAATCTCAATGACAAAATGCATTTGAAAATCAGTTCCACTGCAAATGTTTAGGAATGCTAAAGGTTCTTAGTTTCTGAACTTCATAAGCCCTGGAAACATTGTCTAGGCAGTTAAACATGTGTGCTGCTTGTTACGAAAAGGTCTGCATTTTATAAACATTAGTTTTTCTTACATGCTTTGAGGGTTTTGTAACTTCCTTCCGTGACTTTGCAGGGCTGACTGGCTCCTGCTTGACCTTTGGTGGAGTGTGCACTGAATTAAGTGCACTTGGTGTGTTCAATGCACTTTTTGGAGTACTGTTAAGCTTTGACCCATCATGAGACCTTTCCTTTTTTACCTTAACAGCTCTAGAAAATAATACACAGGAGAGCTTATTAATTTAACATTGAAATCACAACAGATGAAATATTAAATTGCATGATATCTTTGAGGCATAATAAGTAAGAAGGAAGAAACAAAGGAAGGGTTTTCTGCAGAATTCGACAACAAGAATCCTATGTTGTAAAATAAAATTTGAAAACAAATTTAATATATATACATATACTAACATTTTGCTGCAGCATATAGGGCTTAATCAAATTAGATTTTTACAAATATTGTTCAAATATGTTTGCTCAGACTGGCATGATTGGCAATTAGCTATTCAGCTTTTCAGGATGCAAAAGTACTTTAACACTGTCTAACTGAATTTTAATCTTTTTTCACTTCTATTAAGTTGTTGAATAATTATTTGGTTACATGGATAGATATAATTAAGATTTTGTGAAAAAGTCAGCATACAACTTACCCATCCACTGCATTTTTCTGAAAAGGAGAAGGAAATATTTTGTTTCACTTTTTGTTCAGTCAGTCATGAATTGTGTTGTGGTTTAATAAGGCATGTGAAAGGATATTAGTGAGAAGAAAATCAAGAATAAAACCTGTTCTATAAATATTTTCCATCATAAGAAAAACATAACAAACAGTGAAAAAAACTTTCTTATGGAAAAAAACTGTTGTAACTTATAAAAAGAAGAAGCAAAATCATTAATATTCACAATTTTCACCCAAAAGTATTTCACTTGAATAAATAAACTCAAATACTGTTTAACTCCTCTCTGTTTGATACACTTACATTTGAATAAATCATTATAATAAATTTAAACTCCAAACAATTTGCACTTGGTTATAAATAAACATTACTTACTGATGGTGATTTCCCTTGTTGTCCATCAATTTTAATCTTTTTTGGTGCCATTCCTAGACCAGAACATCAGAAGTTACAGACCATTTAAACCACGACAAAAACGTTTTTCAATAACTTGCAGAGAAATAGCCCCATAACTTCAAAAGGCAAAATTTTTTGGCAAATTCAGGTCTTTTAATTAAAACAAAAAAGCAAAAGGGGTAAGTATAAGTTTGAAAATTAATAAGGCATTCAGATTCATCCATTGGGGCATTGTTGTGAGTGAAAGGGCTATTGTGGTGAACAAAATTGAAGGGTGGCAGAATATATTTCCTTTATGACAGATTTCAGCAAAATTATTCAAGCAATCATTTGCTGTCAGTTCCTTTTAACAGTTTCAGAAACATTTTTCTCAATATTTCTTATAAATTTGACAAATTTCATATCAGGAGTACCAAATATGTGGTCAGCCCTCCTCTGTTGTCATAATTCCCTTATCTGCTAATCTTACAAACTTCACAGCAGATAGAGCCAACAGGTTGTAATGTCACTGTCCCTTTGTTGTTATCATATAGAGTTGCTAAGTGATGACTCACAAAAATCTATTTTTTGAAATTTTTGAAATTTGTTCCCATAACCTGAAAGGGCGTCATGAAATATCTCTAAATCTGCGAAATCAGTCAAAGGTATTACGAATTGGCTAAGATATGGCCACTTGACACAGGCTCTGGCTGCATCAAACCTCTGTAATTTGGTCTCCGTTCATAACTTTATGGACTGAGCCAAAATAACAGTAATCTGTTAGCAAACTTCAGATCTTCTATTGGCTCATCCAATTTTTGACAAATTTAACTGATTTTGCATAAATGGAAGTATTTCATGGCGCTCTTTTGTGTTTTGTGGTCAAAATTAGAAAATTCTAAAAATAGTTTTTTTGTGACGTCACACTTGAGAACTGTATTTCTCTGTCCTGCTCCCTCAGAGTATAAAAACTTGGTCATCAAATATATACAATGTCAGAAAACTTACACCTTACAACATATTATGAAAATAAAGGGTTCCAAACTAACATTTCAAAACATTATCAGACTCAGGTTCTAAACTTTGCAAAGCAAGATCAATGCAAGAAAATATTTAACAAGGGGTCTCTGCCCTCAGGCTGACCCTGGAAATCACCACTGGGTGTGACCTATAAGACCATGCTTTTATCACCTTGTTTCAGTGCTTATCTCAGGTGTATCCTCCTTAGGCAAATCTTGAAAAAATATTACCTTTCCTTACCCAATATGTCTTGGGATCTTTAGAATAATTATGTTGACCATGTTTTGACAAAAGTGGGGGAGGGGGTAATGATCCTCACCCACTTCTTGAAGTCTATTTTTCTACACTTTTACAGCTCATGCTTTGAAACAACTAGAATTGACCATAAGACATTTGAATAGATTTATCCCCAAATAAACAACACCATAGGGGTAGTTAGGATTTTGAAATTAGTAGTCCCAAATTTAAAAAAAAAATGTGAAATGACTATATTGAAAATAACTTACAAAGGAACTTTACAAACATGTTCAAACCAAGAAAGTCTTGAGAGAGAGGGTTAAAGGGGAACATGTGCTCATTTTTAAACTCAGTACATCTGCACATTACAATTTACACACTGAACATATTTGTTTCTTGACTTGCAAACGTTTTTGTTTGGGGATCCTCTAGAATATAGGGGGGCCAGGCCCTCTCTGCCCCCTTCTCACTACCCCGGACGCCACAAGACTAAGTCTAGAGCTATTAATATAAATGAAGTTTCGCGTTTTTTTCTACAAACTCGTTGGAGGTTTCCCTTGCACTAAGGGGCTTTCCTTTCACAAAGATTTTCGCTTCCTGCATAAATTAACATAACTATTAAACTTGACCAAGAGTTTCAAGAGAGACAGTCAAAAACATCTGCATATGTTGGACGGATACAACTTAATTTGAAAAACCAACTATGGCCATTTTATAAAGATGGTGCTATAAATGAAGAAAATTGCCTCTTTGCAACAAAAAACTGATGTTCCTGGAACGTTACCAGCAACAGTATCGAAATAATTATTTAGACCCTATAACGATCGCGCCTGGTTTCTGATCATCAATGATTCGAAATTGAAACGGTATGATTGCAGATAGTAGGAACTGATTGCAGTTAAACAGAAACTAAACCGATGGATCGAAAATTGGCACAAAAAGAAAGTGAAGTAATGAATTATTTGAAAGTAATATTACCACTTCCATCCTTAGAATCGGACTTGCCGGGTTTCTTTGAATGACCACTGGCCTAAAGAAGCAAAATAGAAACAACAAATCAGTTGGAAATTCCTCCCAAACCTTGTTTGCTATGAAGTTTTCTAGGGGTAAAAGAACAAAAATTACCAACCTTATGTCCCTTCTCGTCTAATTTTCTCTTGAGTCCATTTTCGGCCTAAGATACAAACAGAATATTTCATAGTAGTCTCACAGACATGGGACACCGGTATTGGGGTGCAGGCAACCAAAAAAATTCAAAAACTCCATTCTGAAATTCATAACCTTTCAGTAACAAAAAATTTTACAAGAACTTAATTGAAATCTCTTGGTGCAGAGATTTGAAAAAATATATCCCGAGAACGAAATGGCGAGCTTGTCTCAAAATGCAATGTCCTTTTAGAAAATGGCGACGCGACATAAAAGAAGCGTGGAAATGCTTATAAATTGGAGAACTACCTAATCTTGTTGGCTTGATTCCGGCAGATGCATTTGCAATAAGCCTCATTCCTTCTAGTCCTGCTATCTAATTCAAAAATCTAGCGAATAGCTTTGCAATCAATGTTAGGAAACCATAGCTGATGTCAAACTATCCAAGAAAACTTCCTGAGAAAACTGGATAAGGTTGTCGAAAATCATTCATAAACGAACAAAATACGGCCTAGACATCAACTCTAAAGACACAACAAACCAATTGCATTTAAAAAATATTTACCATAATTTTCTGCTCAAAGCTTCCTCCGTAGTCACCATTCATTTTTAGTGATATGCTCTCTTCTCCAGAATCTGTCTCTGTCCAGAAACTAAGTGTCGATGGAAGAAAATTTTCTAAGTCCGAAGCTGACTTCCTCAGACAAAGGCGAATCGCGAAAGAACGTCTTGGAGGATAAGTTGGCAAATCAGCTACTGCGCATGCTCGTCTTCACCTCATTAAAAATTCAGATGAGGGCGCGTGTCGTGGGGCCTTTCAATTATTTGGCACAATTTCAACAGAATTTCAATAAAAAGAACCCTTCCAGGGGGTAGATCAGCATAGAACTCATCTTTCCATCCCAGAGCTTGTAATCTTTAGAACACTTTACTTTATTCTTGCTTCAAAGATTATAGCCACGTTGACTTCAGCCCCCTCTCTTCTCAGCCCTTTCCTAATTCTCCCTGTGAAGGCTTTGCTTAATGACCCTGGATTACCGACAAAGAAAGTAATTCAACAAATATTTCAAAACTTTATCAAAGCTCTTATCAAAATTACTTCATAATAGTCCAGAAACTATTCTAAAAAATTAATACATGGCATTGAAAAACAAACATTCTTCGGGGTTTCAAAGACGTACCAGACGAAAAATTAGGTTTGCTTCAAAAATTTTGCCTTTTCAAAGTCTGTTTAAAATTTCTAGCCCCAAAATTGGTTCACATTTGTTTAGCAATGCATTTATTACCCTGGGTACCAGGGCCACATAAATTCGAACGCTGAAATAAAAGATAGGTAGCCAATGCCAATAGAGAGAATGGGAGGGCGCGTTGCCCCCCTCCCCCATAAGGCTGTTTGTCAAAAAGTTTAGGTCTCTCCGCAAGTGACACCCCCAACGACTGGCTGACGACAGTCTTATTAGCTTTCCATATTTCATCATTAGCAATTCTGCTTTTAATCGATCATTTTCTGTTGCATTGGCAAAATCAGCCAAAGTCAGTCCTTGCGGAATAATTTAGTGGTCTTTTGTCTTGACTAGTCAGGAAATACTTAAGGTTCCTTTTGCGAGAAATTCAGGGATTTTCCTGGTCGATCGTGGAATTCTTTACAGTGGGAAGCATAAAGCAATTGGCAAAAAACGAAAATGAGGATGTATATTCAGAATATGATATATGGTGAAGATGTCTCTGCCACTGAAGCACCTGTGACAGGACCGCACTTCCCACTGGGCCCACTGGGCCCACCGGGCCACAAGCAAATAGTAGCCTGTGCTCCAGACCCCTAACTTTAAAGTTAGGGGGGTCTGGAACACAGGCTAGCAAATAGGGGCTCCGAGAAAATTTCGGAAGTTATAAATGGTGTCATAGGGTTTGTCTTACACGAGGTTTTTATATTACGTGTGAAATGTGAAACATTGTCACTAAAAGAAGGTAGCGGTGCAATAAACAAAATAGATACAGTGAAAAACAAAATAACTACAGACGGTCAGTCCCAATTAACTACAAGTTTATAGTTATGATAAAATTTAAACAACGCATAAAAATGGTATTTTGTGACATAAGATTTGAATGCTAAGCAGTTTCATTTTCTGGAGCTTTTCTGATTTTCATTAAGCAAAACATTGTGTCCTATTCCGAGGTCGGTCTCTATCTATACTTTCTAATTCTATACCATGCAAGGCAATAATATATCCTCTTACAGCGAAGTTGAACTCTGTTTTCTAGGTTGGCATGGGCCTATATCTAAAATCTTTGCAGCATATTCTGGTGTCACGGGTCAGGACCGCACAAACCCCTTTAGGGCCCCCGGGCCCAAGCATAGATGGGGCCTTCCTTTTAACAAGTGTGGAAGTCCGAACAAATTTTTCGTAGAAGTATAGATAGAGGGAGATTTTGTTCAAAAATTAATCTAAAGCTTAAAAATTTACCCTCTTTCTCTACCAAAAATTTAGTTAATGATACGAGCAAATACTTTTTTTCTAGTATATCAAAAAATATAACCTCTTGCTCAATTTATTTTATAAGTATGCGTCCTTAATGATGACAAAACGCCTAGATCTACTTACTATATTGTCGTAGAAATTTGAACAGATTTTTGAATATGAGTGACTCCAATTCGCAGGAAATTGCATTCTTTGCAGCAATTTTGCCTTGGTACAGTAGCTTTTTGTGAATCAGCTTATTGTGTTTATTCAATGAACATTTTATCTGTTCTTTGTCGACTATATCATCGTTATCGTCCAAGTATTCACTTTTTCTGTTAGAAGATTGGGCAGTTTCATCCTATAAAATATTTGTTATTTTCCTAACATGGTCAAAAAAGTCTCGAATAACGTCCACGTTTCCGATGTTTTCTCATAATAAGGTGTTGTTTTTAGTACTCGAAGCCTTGTATAAACTATGTTTTGTAATATTGATATTCGTGTAGTGGGAGGGCGTGACTGTAAAAATTCTGCTTTTGCAAATCCTTTGATCAAATGTGTGCTAATGTAAGAAGTTGTATATTGTATAGAGTTTCTGGCAAAGACATTCGATAATTTTACATTGCTCGATAGATGGAATCAGCCATACCAATTTTTGAAGCTTGTACAGGTGCATTCACTCAGTCTAAGCCTAAGGTAATGAAAGATTGGTTCCAAAAAACCTGTTAAATTACAAGTCTCTTGTAATTTTACTCTTTTGAATCTGGTGCGTGGCCGCTTTTGCTTACAAGTAGATTAGGATACAGTATAATCCCAGCCTTAAACTTTTTGGGGGACAACTGCCCCTTTGGCTCAGCCTGCTATAGAGGGCCATGTCAACAACATTTGTATTTACGAGGTATTTAATTTTTGAATTTTTTATTGATGTCCAGTTAAGTAGATGCCAACGAAGATGTAGTTGTCTTGTCTATAAAATCTTTCTCTAATGAATATTACATCATATCAACCTCTGTTACTTTGATTATAAATTTCAGTTATTATAAATTTATGACTGAAATTTCCATTGGAATATCTTTCAAACCTATTGCTCTGTTTTGCTTTGAAATTGCAGCAAAACACACAAAAACATCGAATCACGCTACGGAATTACAAAACTACGAATCACGCTACGAAAAGGACTATGCAAGCATCTGAATATGTTTACACGACTACATCGAATGCAAAGGAATTACAAAACAACATTTGATTCTGCAACAATTTTGTTCCTACGTAAAAAAGAAGGCATATCGATACGGCATTCAGCACTCTTCAGGCATTACATGTCTGCAATACTATTTTAGGCATGCTTAGCTGTTCTGATCAGATTTAGATTCAAAATTTACGAGAAAATAATGTTCATGTTTTTAATCGATACAGATATAAACAACGACTGACGTAAGAGAAACAGGATGTTTGTCTCCAATTCAGGATTAAAGGTTTGCAGTTATGATGCAAGAATTGTAAGATGCGTGGAAAAGAAAATGGATGAAAAACTGCATGTTTTGTGAGAGAGAGTATCAATCAGTAGCGTCGCCACGGGGTAGAATGGGGTCCACCCTAGTTCAGTGGTGGTGCCAGAGGGGGGCAGGGGCTACAGCCCCCTTCGGAGTTGCTTAGCCCACCCCTCGGAAGATAGACGAAGACAATTTAAAATTTTGTCGGAGCAAGATTTTGCTACCGTTTGTAAAATTCTTACGAATGAAAAGAAGTAACTGAAAACAGAAAACTCATTGAGTATAAATGTACAACCAAGTAACTCTCAAGTAATTTCCACACCATATCGGGGAACTCAACCCTCTCTTTCGGCATACCAAACCAAAATTCTTAAAGACCACTTGGATATAATTTTAAAAGATGAAGACTAGAACAAGTAGGGAAACAGCCCACCTCCTATACTACACCATTTCCTTTTGGCGCGGCCTCTTGTATATCTATGAAATTGTGTTATATACGGTAGCATTAGCTTATGATGTCGGCCTCAGGTCTCTCGGCTATAAGAATTTTGAGAGGCTGGGCTGTAAACATCAGCTATTAGTTTCGTACTCAAACAAGATCCCGCCAGATTCAAACTCCTTTATCTTTTTAGGTCCACATGTAGCAATATATTTAGCTTAGGGTTAAGACTGATTAATTACGTAGGATTCAAGTGCTGTAAAAGTTTGGCGACTTTTTATTAGACAGGATTACAAACACTATGGATTATGTCTCCTTCCTGAAACTTCACGATTTGTGACTCGTGCCATTTGGATGGAGAGTTAATGAAGCAAATTACAGCTTCTTTCTTTTTTGGGAGGGGGGCTGTCTATGTATTTCGAGATTCTTCCCACATTTCGAGATAAAAAAATTTGCCACAGTAGATAACTTGGTATATTTCATGCTTGGGAAAAAGGAGGGGCATTACCCCCAAATTTGCCAAAACAACATGGTCAGCTAATCCTTCTCAAATATATAGGAATGAATTGAGCAGGGATAAGCCTACCATGGTCCATGTGTACCAAAGGCACATATATTCAAGTGTGGAAATAGGACAACCTTGCGGAGAAGCGTTTAGCTGCAAAAAAGTGTACTTTTCTTTCCTCCCAGGAACCTCTCCCCATCTCTATTCAATTTCCACTCTCGAATTTATGTAGCACTGTGACGCAGGGCTGTGTAAGCCATATTTTTAATTATTCGCTAAAGAAAACCAATATTGTAAGAAGAGTGTGGCACGAATGATGTAAGAAAGGCAGGTATCTGCATTATATGATCTGGTCTAAAATTTATCCTAGAGTAATAACTTTATGACATGACTTGAAATTTTCAAAAGAACTGGTATACATTATCGGTTCTTTATACAACTTGAAAATCGTAAAAAAGTTCAACTTCTTTTGTTTTAGCTTGAATTCTATTCGAAATGCGCGTTATACTTATGCGAGACACACAAGAAAACCTTTTGGAGCAACTATTTCACCGTGGATGTCCCTTGGCAAAGACAGTTGATTTCAGACTTGCAAAGCTGTGTAAAATTGATAAGTGGATCTTAGTCGAAGTACTTTGCTGATTGTGGCATAATATATGGAGAATAAAAACTCTCTACGAGAAAAACTCGAGAAAAGCATATAAAGTATAAAGCATAACGTTTTGAAAATACATTAGCCAAAGTGATCCATTTAGGAGGTTCTTGAAACAAAATAGTTTTCAAAATCGACCTACATTAGTACCAAGTGCCACATTAATGCCACAAGAGTTGACAT